GTTTCTTGAAGGTCTTTAGCAGAATCTGATTCCCTTAATACCATAAAAACACTACTGGTATTAAAGAAACTGCAAAAAATATTTCTGCTCGTGCCAGAAGGTCTCTCAATCCCAGAGTCCCAGGCTTAATTTCAGTCCCAGTACATCCGTTATGACTGCACTTACAGACACATTCATGTATGCAGGCACCCAACATAGTACAGAACAGAACCACAATCTCAACAAAGAGCTATTTTGTGACTGACTGCAGCATATCCAACCCTTTAAAGGTTTAGTAGTGCTATAATGTCACGCCACTTCTACCTTCACTTAAGTCATTATTTGCATGACCACAAACATAAGCAGGTCATTGGAGCTTTTTTTGGTGAAGACAGACAGTGTAGACAATGTGCATTGTGTTTGGCCATAACGATGCAGATCTACAGTATGTGACTCTATCTATCCCTCTGCATGTTTGGTTGCTCACATGGCTAAATGCTCTGTCTTTGTGTTATTCTACCATAGTAGTAGTCTCCTTTCCTGTCTGAGAGTTCAGAGACATTGTTTCTTCTTTTTGGATTAGTCTTTGGGAGGAGCTCATTTGTAAGTAGGTTGCCACCCAGCCCTACACACCTGTGTATGTGTGTTGGGATGTGGTTGGGTGGTGGCGAGAGCTGTGTTATGTCAAACCTAAAATAACCTGTGGTAATACCTGTATGCAGTGAAAACATGCCATTAATCAGTCTAGTGTACACGGTACGCAGGGGACAGAGAGACGTGTCCAAAACACTTTTTTTTTTTTTTTTTATACAATTTATTGTAAGTCAAATGGTTGTATATAATATGTTCCATGTCTGTGATGGTGCAAAAATTATATTCTGTTTTACACATATAATGATAGTGGCTAAAGTGAAAGAGATGTGATCTTCAACTCCTGTGATTGTTAAATGCAGAGGAACTGGTTCAACTCCGCTTCAATTAACACGGGAGGAGACAAGAAGGAGAGAGTAAATACAGGAGAGGTCATATGTTGCTGGTTCACCACATCATTGAGTACAAACTGGTTCTACTGTTTTATATACAGCTGGCATGTTTATAGAGAGAAGGATAGAGACAGCTACATGCCATGGCCTTGGATTAACTAACACAGCAGGACAAACCTGCCATGTAAATGTTGGGTTCATTTGTAGAAACTCATGTGAACAGTATTTTATTTAAAATTCTAGTGGGGATCTCAAAGTTTCCAAAGAGACCTGACCTCAACCCCACCTAACACCTTTGGGATGAACTGGAAAGCTGACTGTGTGCCAGGCCTAAAAATGATATTTGTTAGATATTCCAGCCAGGTCAAGATCCACTGAATTCACAAACAAGTAGGGCAAGTACTCACATTTTTCACTTTTTCACTTCTCTTTTTATAAAAAAAAATGCAAGAAGAGAATTGGTAATTTTTTGAGAGTGTTAATGAGGTCAGAGGTTAGTTGTTAAAAGCTGTTTCCATCATGATAAAACATTCCTGGTCAGTATATGAGCCTTCAGGGCGTCTCCTCCTCTTTACTCCCAGGTTAAAGTTGCTGCTGGTTCAAAGTACACCAGCACATAACGTGAAATACCACAGCTGTGAGTCATGAGCAAGGCATGCTGGGTAGTAAAGACTACTTGCCCACACACAGATTTGAGTGACGTGTTATTATCATGACAGTGCAGGTCCACAGACTGGACCTCTGGCTTTACTAGTTAAATTAGAAACAGAATCTAATGTCCATAATAGTTTGGATTTTATATTTCTAACCCTTTGTAGAAAGTGTTGCCCATTTCTTATGTTTTTTTCTGAATAATCTGCCCATGCATTATGAATGCGTGTCTATAAAATACTGTAAATTAACATAGATAGACAATAAGCTAATGAAATGTGAACTGAGATTTAAAAAACATGAACAAAAGATTAAAGATAAAAATGAAGCCTGGCTCTGTTGCAAGGACCCGGTACAGTCTGTATTATATAATCTGTAAGAAAAATAGTGATTCATTCAGAAATTATCCATTCATAACTTCCTGCAGGTGGAGAATCAGCCTCACCTGGGAGAGTCTGCAGTGTCTCATCTGAGAAGAATGGGACACTGCTGTAGATTTACTTGCACTAATCACTATTTTCCTATGAAAAAACTGGTCAACTGAGTCTGTCTAGTGTGCAAAGGGTCACTCGTAGTAACTGTTGAACAGAGAATTATCATAATGGGCTTTGTTATCCTCTTATCACATGGTTTTGGCTTTATAACACGTTTACTGCATGGTTCAGTCTCATCGGTAGCAGCAAGCAGCTGTTTTCAGCAAACAAGCTGTACACTACCTGCCCAGGATCAAGCAGCAGACAAAGTTAGCAACTGGCTGATAAAGAACATTTAGCAGCTGAAGAGCCATTTTTTTCCCTCAGGAGTTGGTGGAAACTAAACAGAGCTAAAAAAAGAGAGAGTGTGAGTATTGGACTTCAGGTGGACACAAACAGGTGGACTAAATGATGTTGCACTGTGTCTGCTTGACGTGGAAGTAGGCAGCCACTTGCTGACATATTAGCCAGAGCAACTTTTTTAAGATGAAATATATCAAACGTGTCTGGGAATGCACAGCCTGTTGTGGAGGGTTTCCCAGAAAACTGATTAATGCAGCTTTAAGTAGTTTTCAACTAAAGTAATCTCAACTCAACTTGAATAATATTTAATCTACAGGGCTTCAACTTGAATAGTAAATTTGAGAGAATGCTTATTAGACATCACCAATGCTTCAGTCCACAGAAAGTTATGTTCCATGAATTAAGATTTGATGATGATAAATTAATGACAATCAGACTTTTTGCACAACATATTTTAACATGTTGTGTGCCTCTTGGACTGATCTCATTCTTGCTCCCCAAAAGATGAACTCTTTAGATTTTAATGTCACCCTCAGGACAAACTTTGCATTTTTTTTTATCACCACTGGTAAGGCTCTAAGAATAGCTATATCAATGGTGTGTTGTTTGTTCTGTCTAATACTTTTTGTATTTTGGAGTGTAATGACCGTCGAATGCACACTAACCCATGGGGACTCGTGTCACTATAGGGACAAAAATCGAGGTCCTAACTAGAGCCCAAACGATATGGGATTTTTAAGACTGATATCGATTTTGAAATTTGAAGATTTTAAAATCCAATATTCCGATATATTGGCCATTATTCAAATTTTTTCCTTCATTTAGAAACACATAGCATGTTGCCAACAGGGGAGTTGCAGAGTGCCCTCTGGTGGACAAACTATGCAACAACACTCATAACATGATTGAATGATCCGTCTTCTCTCTCTCCTTCTCTTTTTTAATTGTTTATCCACTGTTCTAAACACAGATACTGATTTATCTGCAATTAGCTCATTTTGGCCGATAATTTCGGCACAGCGGTTTATCGGTCAGGCTCAAGTCTCCACCGGTAAAGACACTTTTTGAAGGTTAAGATTTGGTTTTAGGGTTCAGGTTACATTTGGGTTAAGGTTAGAATTAGGGTAAGGGTTAAAGTTCGGCATGTTGTTGTGATGGCTAAGGGTAAGGTAAGGGGCTAGGGAATGCATTACGTCAATGAGATGTCCCCATGGGGATAGAGGAACAAACCTGGTTGCATGTTTGTGTGAAAAAGTGACAGAAACAATGCCTGAAAATCACAAAGTCAGCAAATGGGGCGAGCTACTGCACCTGCTCCACCCTCCTGATACCTGCCAGCTTATCAAGGTGTGTCTGACTTGGCGACCTGCCACAGTCATCAGGCCCCACCCAGCCATAGCCCGGGGTGGTGTGGGGGCTAACAACTGGAACCCTATGATCCAACCCGTCCTCAAGGATGATAATATTTTTTCTTAGCGCTGACTTGACTGGACTTGATGACTGAGTTCCCATAACAAGAAGGTTATTTTTTTTCTTAGTTTGTTTATATGGACTTTTGTATTTTATTTAACACTTAGAGTTAAAGATTTTCTTTTTACAGCCTTAATATTGGACAAATAGTTGATGATGATGATTATTGATGTAAGAAATGTAGATTTTCGTCATACAAATCATAAACAGTATTTACTATAATAATAGAGTAGTTTTTGATGTTAAAATATAAAAACAATGAATTTACTGTTTTTCACTTATAGGACAATATGGAATAAGTGTATCAACAGACATCATTCAAACAGTAACAACTTTGGAATGTTACTGACAATTAATTTTCACTTTCCAGAGAAAGAAACATTTTTTTTATTCAAAGCCATTTTGTTGTTGTTGTTGTTGTTGTTTATACAATTTTCCTAGAGCTCACTACCATCCACAAGTTAGTTGCAAAGGTAGTTGCAATGCAATGCACTGGATTGTTGGGTAATAATAATCAAGGGCATTTTAGTGAGTATACTTCATTTTGTCCTTTTGAACAAACTACATACTTAAAACCTTCCTTGAATTTGAATGTAGTCTGGAATTGAGATTCATTATTTGTCCAAATGTTTAGTTCATCCTGGGGTCTTAAGTTTGAGGTTCCTGTAGTTTGGTCCAGGTTTGTGGAACGCTTCTGAACAAATCAAATTTAAGCAACGTAGAAGTGTATAACTCCTCCCTTCATGCATAGCTTTTTTTTCTCTCATTCAATTCAATTCAAATTACCTTTACTGCCATGAATTCACTCACTCACTATCTCTCTCACACACACACACACACACACACACACACACACACACACACACACACACACACACACACACAAATGAGAGGTTGAGTAAACAGATCAATCAGGCACAGAAACCTGAAAAAGTCTGGTCTAATATTAACTAACAAACTCCCATTGTCTTTCTCCCAATCATTCTCTCTCTCGCTCTCTCTCTCTCCCCCCATTCTGGTCAGTAGGGAGGTTGTAGTTAGGGTCATCTCTATGTACACAGGAGTGCTGCCCACCCACCCCCACACACACACCCAGAGAAAGAGGGACACCCTCTGTGGTCTGAGCTCAGTAAGGAAATTAGTTTTTTCTGTCATCATGAACACTTCTCTCTCTCCAAGTCCTGCAGTGAGTATTTTAGAAACATTTTACAGCTCAAGAGATATTAAAAAGCATCAGAACAGTGAGATAAAGTGTGTCTTTAAAACTTTACTGGTGAAACATTTGGCTAGGTTACAAAAATTTGGACTGTTAGCTAAAGGTGGCCTTTAAGCAGCTCCTGTTAAAGTCTTAGTATTGAAGAAGTTTGCTAAACTTAATTTGCCTGTTTAAGGTTTTTGTGTTGAAGAGTTTTTGTTGAAGTTTACCTAATTTCACCATTTGGAATGATTTAGAAAAGTTAGTAACAGTTACTAAAGGTTAAAGCCTAAAAAACTGAGTGACTTAGCTAAAGAATAGCGTACAGCCTTTGCTCCCCTCTGTCCTGCTGGTATTATAGACTTGTCTGAGCTAACCATGAACCCCCTCGACTTGCATCTTTTGTCGAGCTATGATGTTTAGCCTGCAAAGGTTTAGGCTTTTTGGTTACCAACATTTAGAGAACTGGTAAAGCAGATAGTAGCATTTATAATGGTACCGGAATGTTTTAGTTTGAGTTTAATTTAAAACTTTAAAAAATGTCAGGTTATGTTATTCTGAAAGTACATACCTGTCTCCTAGAAATTACGCATTTATACTACTAATTTGGTTTCCCAATTACGTTTTGCTGGGAAAAGTAATTAGGAAAACAAATTAGCAGCACATAAACATAATTTAAAGGGGACAGGGTTGTACAGTAACTTGCAGAGAATTACAGCATCCCACATTCACCAGGCACTATTTTACTTTATAATGAGGTTTTTTGAAAATAAATAGCTTTGTTGGGTCCACTGAATGTCACATGCTACCTGAATACTGTATATTGAGACTTTTTTCCATTATCCTCTTATCAACTATAAATTCCTCTCTGCTCCCTCAAGCTCCTGTCTATGCATGTAATGGTTCTTAGGGGGATTATAACACAATGGATTTGCATTGATTGCATTTAATCAGACTCACTGTGTCATGAACACCCAGCCCACTCATGTTGTGAATGCATTCACTCATATGGTGAGTAAGGGAATTAATTGCCTGCTGTCCATTTGTAGTTTTTATATATATATATATGAAGATTGATTTCCTCCTTTGAAGATAAAAACATACATATGAGCCACCGGGGTTGGCTGCTTCAGAACAGGTGGTGGGTTTCAAACAGTGGTGGGTGGGAAGCTTCTACCAGCTGAGAGTCTGTTCAGTAAGCAGCACTTGTATTGTGTCTATCAATGCCGCAAATTTATAATCCTCGTCTTCAGAACAATACTGAATATTTCTTATGTTATACCATGGAGCACTTTGACACTTAACTGCTGAAACCAACTTAAAGATGTAAAAGACATTCTTCACTTTCGCTTTAAAAAGAGGGGGAATTAAGGTTTTGTAGTTTTCCCGTTTCACTTTTGCTTTCTTGCTTTTTTTCTTTTTTGAAAAAAGTCGTCCCAGTCGTTGGAGATTTCAGACTTTGTGTTTCTACCTCATTTGCTGTCGCTCATTCTGCTTCAGAACAATGACTCCCACAGGGCAAGGTTATCTATCACAGTAAACACTAGCCGAGCATAATGCTTTTACATGACTGCCTGCTTCCTGTCACTGACCTGACATGCTGACAGGTAGAAATGGATGTCTCCTAGAACGCCGTGTCTCTAAAGAACATGTCATATGACAAACTGCGCCGCCTGTTAGTCTGGACATGAGTTTATTGAAAGCTAGGTGTAACGGTTGGGGTGGACTTTTGGTATCTTACTATATTGGCTTTTTAATCTAAAAACAATGGCAAATGATAAAAGATATAATCAGGTGTGCTTTGTTATATAATCATTGATCACGCAACGCAGTACATTCTTAGCCTAGTGTGGATGTTTTGATGTTTCATTATTTTAGGGGCCCTCACCCAATTTAACACATGTAGGTCAGTTTACTTGTTACCAGGAGTTACTAGAAAACAGTTGTATAATGTCTTCTGTGGCTCTGGAGGAGCTTCCTAAAGTCTAACAAAAGTTACCCATCTTGGATTTTATTAACATAACGTCCGTGTTATAATCTCGGGTGCGGGGTTGGAAAGACATGGGGGTTTAACAGGCTGGGAAGGCCTGATGAAAGGTGATAAGTTGCATGATGGGAAATCTAGATCCGAGTGTTTCTGGACTTTTACCTATATGATGTATTAAAGTCAAGATATCTGCTGTTTCCATTCTGACCAATCTTTTTTTAATCTGTCTTTCGTGAGTCCCCCAATTAAATTGAAGCTATTTAATCAATCAAAGCACATTCTCTGAATCCAGCTCCTCGATTTGATGCTTGTTTTGTCTTGCTTTATGTCATTAGAAATTGTATATCTTAAACAACAAAACAAGACATTCAAAGACTTCGCCTTTAGCTCTAATAACTTGTGATGGCCATTTATCACATGTTCTCATATGTTTTACACATCTTAAAGACTCAATTAATTGATTAATTTGTATAAAAAAAATTAAACCAAATGAATTTATAATGAAAAGTTGCATTCTTTGAAAGACATTTAATCCCAACAAAAATACAACACAAGGCATTAAACAAACAATATCATAGTCATATCAATACAAAAAATTCAATTTCTAAAATTTTACATTTCAGTCAAATGTTTAGCGTCTTTTATTACATAATAATAATAATAATAATAATAATAATAATAATCTTTATTTATAGAACCACTTTTCAAAACAATGTTATAAAGTGCTTTCACAAGAGCAAAGACAATAAAACACAAATAAATAACAAGATACACAGTAAAAAAGTAGCATAGCCATGTTGCATCCAATCATGTTAAGTCAATTTTATTTATATAACCCAAAATATTATTTTACTCCTTCAAACTTTCCAGACTTTCTTTAGTCCAATCAGATTTCTCAGTCTGTCTGATTCTGACTGCAGGTTAACAGATAAACAAAGATCAAGATTCACTGTGTTTTATATCGCTAAAGGTATGCACTTGTGTGCTGGTATTTAGGACGTCCTCTCTGTGCTCCAGTGAGTCTGGAGGGCAAGATTCACCACATTTCAGCCTTTCTCTCCCATCGCTCCTGTTTCTCTCCATTCCACACCAGTGCAAAGGTTTGTAAAAGAATCAGAGGAGGAAGTTTTGCCAGTTGGGTGTTGCCTTAATTCTGGTTGACGATGGCATTTAGACTCTAAGGGAAAACTATTTGCATAATGTCCTTCAGATGAAACACATTCTACAATCAGTGCACATTTAGAATGGAGATAGAGTTTTTTAAAAGATGCTTTCACCACATCAGCGGCCAATAGGATCAGACTCCCAGAGGTGTTTGGTTGCTGCCAAAACTGGTGGTTGAGAAACATAAGGCAGATTTACTGGACGAGGGTTACTGTGATTAAAGTTAATAACGATAAAATAATGAAAATACTCTGTCTGTCTCTCCTTAAAGTCTCCAGAGTTCCAAAGAAAGAGAGAGGACTTCCCTGCTTCGCTTGGAAAACTACGGCAGCTGATAGAAGACAAAGTTCACATCCTACAATCCCCCATCACTGAGCAACAGGTAACTGACTGACAGGAAAGATTATTATAAACTTAAGTGTATGAAAACCCTAATGTGAGGGAATTGATCAAGTAGAACTTGTACCGAGGGCAAATAGCAAATGACTGTGCAAAGATGAAATGAAAAAGCAGTGTACAAGTTTCTATGTTATAAATTTATAATTAAGTAATGGCCTTTTTTATACAGTCTATGGTAATGGGGGGGGAAACTGTACAGAAACATACATTTAAATTACAGTGTTACAAATGTTACAAATTCCAAGATACTGGGTTGGCCACTGATTGGAAGTTGTCTGTTTGATCCTCCGGCTCCTTCAGTTTGCATGTCGAAGCAGCTTTGAGCAGCTTTACTTAACTGGAATCTGAAACATGACACCTCCAGTGAAAACAGTTAGATGATTATCTCCAGTGTAGGAGAGGCATCAAGTGTCATTTTGTCTTTGCTGACACTTGATGGTTTTAAAACATGAATATGTGCTAGAGGGGGCAGGGCTAATTGCTCAACACTCCCATAACTGCACACCTCCTAATAGTCTATGCCGGGATTTGTTTTTATTGGTACTTTCTTTATGCAATTCAATTGCTTTTTCTCTCCATTCCTCTAAGGTTATTACTGTCTGTCTCTCTTTCTCCCTTTCCTTTCCCTTGTTGTTGATCTCTCCTGAGGCAATGTTCAGAAAGGCATCTCAATCCTGATGTACTCCCCTACCCTTTTAAATAAGTGTAATTTCTCTTAAGCCCTAAAATAATTTAAAAAAATCAAATTAAACCTATAAGTGCCAGTCATTTGGGTTTAATGACACTCCCCTCAGGTGACCTGTGTTTGAATTCTCTAAAAGGTTTGTGAAGTGAGCATGATGTCTGGAAAAGCTGTATGCTCTAAGTGACAGTCCCTATTTGGAATTTGCATTCTTGCAACTGCAAGGATTAACACAAGTTTGTGAGATCTTACTTTTTTCACCTCCCCAAAGTTTTTTTAATTTTTTTATAAATATTAAGATGCATCTTTTTGGGCTGAAGTCAATAAAATTCTAGCCTACACAAAGGTTTATGGAGCTTTTTGGCAATGACATGTGATAGAGAGCACTAGGACACCCTCCCAACAGGAATGCCAACAACAGGGTGATCCAAGAATATAAAATATTCCCAAACTCATTTTGCCCTTACTGGAACATATTATGATTAAAAGTAAGTGTTTTAAAAAGTTGCATTTTCAGAATGTATTTTGAAGTATTACCACTAGAGGCCGGCCGATATTAGCTCATTGCAGATAGATCGGTGTCAGCTGAAATATTTATTTATTTATATTATGGGTTGTGTAAAGAAATATACATTTTTTTTAAATCTGAAATATAATCACAACAGTTCTTTGCACAATGATGTAGAAATGGTTGTGTGTGTGTGTGTGTGTGTGTGTGTGTGTGCGCATTCTGCGCTCGTTGAAAATTCAATCATCACAAAAAACCTTGATTCTGGAGGCCTTGAAAAGTCAAAGGAATCTGGAAAATGTGTGTTTTCAGTGTGGACTAAAGATCCTAATTTTGAAAAACAAATCCTATTTGGCTGCTGTGTGAACATAGTGCCAGTTTGTCTCTCAGACTGAGTCACATAGACACAAACAGACAGACAGACAGAAGATAGGCAAGGGTGAGGGTGATCATCATGTTCTGCCAGAATGACTCAATCGGTCTGTTGTCTTTCAGCCCACAGCCGCTCACTGAAAAACTCCATCAGCTCAACAAGTTCAGACTCACAGCCAGATTAGATGTCACCCACTCCACTCCAACTTTATCTATACATGTCACATCCTCGAGAGTCTCTTTTTGTTTTTTCCTCTCGTCTGTCTGTCTACCCTCACTCTCTGCCTTCAGCTGGTGATTCATCACTCTCTTCTATTTTACTCAACATGTTGCTATGTCTAATAAATGGAGACAGCAGACTACTGAGAGTTGAACAGTTATATGGGTATATTCTCATAATGAATACTCTCCAGACTAAATATTTTATAATGACTTATGGAGCGTCTGGTATGTGTTTTCACCACACATTTGTTTTCGCTCTGAGAGTCAGTATCTTCCCTTTTACCATGGTAAATAAAAGGATGTGTTGTTCTGAGACAGAACTATAGTTATAAATCCAGCCTGAAGATATGGCACTGTCTTATTTCCCAGCAATAAACGCGGTCAGTGTGCAGAAACTTTTTTTGCTCCCTGAATTTGGCCAAGGCCAGTTTCTGTATCTTGACTTCTACTATCTCAACAGCTTATCCAGTGTGTGCTATCAGCGTCAGATGATGGACATATTTTGCTTTTCAGATTAGTAGAGATGCACTTAATAAAACGGTAACCCAGTGTCCATTATTCTCCAACAAAACTAATAGTCTAGAGCCATGCTAGTGACTCTGTAAAGCTGTACTTTGGCACTGTAGTGCTTTGAGGTAAATGCTAATGCCAATCTTGCAACATGCTCAGAATAGTAATGTTATATGTTGATGTTTAGTTGTTTGCCTTGATCGCCAGTGTATTAGCATACTAATCTTTGCTAATTAGCACTAAACACAAATTAAAATTGAGGGTGGCAGGGATATTAGCTTGTCATAAACAAAGTACTGGACAAATGACAATTTTGACCTAATGATGGCGCTGGAGGAAAAGTCACTGATTACCACATAGTTATTTGGCCTACAGTCCATCCTGATGGGGGCATGAATGGGTGTACCAAATTTCATGGCAATCCATCTAATAGTTGTTGATATATTACATTCAAAACCAGAAAACTCTATGGCAGCACTAGAGGAAAAGTCTGGGGATCCCCAAAGATATACTATGTTTCATATACAGTTTATGGTTTCAACATGTCCACCCCAACCACCTCTTTACTCTGATTTTACTGTTATATATCCTTTAGCGTTCAAATGTGATGCTAAAGTGCGTGCACTGAACTATGACACTAATGGGCGCCCCCCTACAAGCTGATGCTGACAGGTCTTGACTGTGCGTCCATATGTGACGACTCGGGAGTTAGAATGTGTTGGCTACAGCACTTCTGTAACTTCTGTCTCTTCTCTGGTGATCAGGGTTTGGTGTGTGAGGAGAACACAGGTAGAGGACTGTGGAGGTTTGCCGTTTTGAGTGAGCAGCTGACCTTTCACCTCCAGCAACTGCAGAGACAGACAGAGCAGGAGCTCAGCAGCATACACACACAGTGAGTCAATGACATGTTATGTATGTGAAACAAGGGAGCTACTGTATGAGAGGGCACACAAAGCCTTAATTTCTTTGCACAGAGGATATTTTCTGTGGGTTGGATGATTGCTGAGGATTGAGGACCTGACTTGTGTTTGAAGGACAGTTTCCTTGCATATTACTCAACCCTGGGGCCCAGTACACACTCTTAAATCTGTTGAATATAAAAAAGTTAAGTAAGAAAAAGTTGGTAATCCTGTTACTACAAAAACTATAATATATGATCCTGTTTACTAAAGAAATTCTTAAAAGGTTGTTCATAAAATTGCATGTTTCAGGTCATAAGAATGACCTTGTGATTCTCAAAATACAGATTTTGTAAGTAATAGTAGAGTAGAATAGAATAGAGTTATATAGATGTATGTTGCATTTTGGCAATATCCTTACTTCTTTTTTCTGTAACTGGACTCTCCTCTTTATAGAAAGGACCATGTCATGTAGTATTTAAACATGCGAGTAGGAGGCAGCTCTGTGTTGGTTTGTGGGGTTTTGTCACAGAGCTGAAACAAGAATGTGGGAGTTTCTCTGTATCTCATAACAGCAGCAGGTTCTGCTCCACTGGAGAAAACAACAGAATCCTGCGTGTGTGTGTGTGTGTGTGTGTGTGTGTGTGTGTGTGTGTGTGTGTGTGTCGCTGAGACAGGGAGAGACGGGAAAAGACAGAAAACCAATGGAAATTGTTCTTTCACACATTTGTTTGCATGCGAGCTCCTGTAAATCAAATCAAATTGTGTCCTTAATTTTACATTCACGTGTTACATATACTCTTCGCAAAGTCGGTGCTCAAATCTCTTCTTATCTTTATTTTACATTTCTCTTTCCTTGTTTGGTTGCATGAAACAGTTGTACTGTACTGAGAACTAATCTCATTTCCATGACCATTCTTTTGCCAAATTTATAATCTGTAACTCTCTGATTGGAACTATGTAAAGTAATGCAAAACTGTAACTACACATCACTCCTTTACTATAACAACATCCTCTTAGGCTTTTTCAAATTTCAATTAGATTATTAAGAAGATTATTTCAATTGTGTCATTACAGTACATCAATATCATAATGACAGACACACCATCATGCTCAACTGTCCTCTGTGTCCATTCAACTGCGTCTCTTCACCAAACCACCTGTGCCTGCCTCTGTCGTTTTTTTCCCAACACAAACCAAAATAAAAAACGTTACTTTGTGACAATCTTTGTAACTTTCTGGAACTGACAATCTGACAGCCGTGCACACTCCATTCAGAGGTGTGTGGAGGTGAGAGAGTAAGCAGGGTTTGAACATCTGTCATTCTTCACCCAAGTACCTCTGTCACATTTTGCGTCCAACACCTTGAATGCCTTCTAGTATTGACTTTCCGAAATGGTGCTGCGTTATCCCCATTAGAAGGACGTGTCTCGAGTCTAGTATCATAGTGGTGTGTAATATCAGCATGAGCTTTATGCAGCCATATTTACTTACCACAGCAAATGATCATAATGTCAGTACTGACACTGATAGGTAGGTAGGTACATTTATTGTCACAATGAAATATATATATAATATATAATGAAGCTACTGTAACTCCTCTGCTCTGCTATTTCTGCTACATAGCAGACAATATACATTAATACAGAAGCAATTATAAAAATGGTAAACTTTTCAATAATCACTGGAGCAGTGCTGAGGATGCCGTGCACATCCCATGCCAGTTTGTGATGTTTCCAGTCAGGATGCTTTCTATTGTTCCTCTGTAAAAGCTGACAAGAGCTTGGCGTGGGAATTTGGCCCTTTTTTTGGAATTTGGTCGTTTCTGAGCTTTCTTTACCAGCGTGGAGATGTGAGACGACCATGTCAGGTTCTCTGTGATGCTGATTCCCAGGAACCTCAAACTGTTCACTTGCTCCACCTTAGCTCCACTGATGTAGACAGAAGTGTTTGTCTTTGTCTCCTTCTTCCTGAAATCAACGATCAGCTCCTTAGTTTTGCTGACGTTGAGCAGCAGGTTGTTCTCTGAGCACCACTCTGCAAGATGATCAATTTCCTCCCGATATGAAGTCTCATTGTTGTTAGAAATCCGGCCGATGATTGCGGTGGCGCCTGCAAACTTCACAACAGAGTTCTCTCCATATCGGGGGATGCAGTCGTGGGTGTACAGCGTGAACAGGAGGGGGCTGAGCACACAGCCCTGAGGGGCTCCGGTGTTGAGTGGAGGAGGCGAGTCCGCCAATCCGAACTGACTGGGGTCTGTTTGTTAGGAAGTCCAACATCCAGTTGCAGAGTGTTGTATTTAAACCCAAAGTGCTGAGTTTGCTGATAACAACCAAAGGGATCAACCAACCAATCAAAGGTCTGTGTGTGACATCACAGATGCTACAACCATATTTATTTCTGTCTACCATTCTATCCTGGACATCAGGCCTGCTGGTAAAAGTGAAAGTAGAAGTGTCTAAAAAGTTAGAAACTGTTTGTAGTCCTGGGTAAATGAATCTATAAAAACTGTGAGAAAGTGAAAGTTGCTGGGGAATTTTCCGATTTTGTTACCACTTGTGGTGTGTTGACAGTAAGTGTTCAGATGGTAGTAGGTGGCTGCTGCCTCACCCTGCTCGCTTGTACTCTCTGTACTCCTGCCATGACGAACAGTTTGGCAGAACAACGCTTCAACTGGTCTCACTTCTGTCAGACAAGACAAGCGAAAACACATCTCAGAATTCAAGGTGTGCCAGCAGACACACACCCACCCGCACACACTTGTATACACACACACACACACACACACATTATTCTGATGATTTTCCAGGAAATCTCTTAATTTCTCTGCAACATTGTGGTTCTCATCGCCAAGACTGATCCCGTCACAGCTCGGATCAAAGGCTTAATTAAAGGAGATGAATAGGTTCTCAATAAATAGTGTTACATGTCTCTATCACGTTGCCCTGCCCAACATGATATCCACTTCTCATATCCACTTGGCTTACTGGAGCAAGACATCACCCTGCTTTCATTTTACTGGGGTTTTCCTTGGTTTTACGGGGGGCTTATACAGTAACGTCAGTGCCAAGACTGGCTTTGTACAGGAAAAGAGGACAGAGCTACAATCCTGAACATTCAGGAAAGGAGATAAGGCGAGATCCTTCTTTTTTTTTTAAATGGACCTTTAACAGGATCCAAGGAGGCAAGCAGCTTTAACACTGAGAACTTCTGGAACAGTTGTTTAAAAGTCTGCTTTACTTCAGTTTCTTTGTGATAATGATGCGTTTTAAACCAGTGCTCTGCTACTGTTTGTCCCAACCTTCATGCCTCTGTGGTGAAGCTAAAGCAGTCTTAACAGTCTACAAAACTTTTCTCACGCTAAGGGAGGTAGAGTGTAGGATAAAGAGCATTATATACATCATTACCATCCTACAAAGCAGCAAACATGGAAACTACAGACTAAATTACAACGGAAACAGTCACAATAGTTTTTCTTTTTCTATGCTCTTTACTTGATAATCCATTACACCAATTGCTTCCCAAGAAATCAAATAAAATGGCAGTAACAAAAAAAGGAAGAAAAATAAAATAAAAGATTGATTTGACTTATGAACATCTTGCTTCTTGTACCGACTGGCTATTGCCTTATTAACTATGAGATCTCAGTAGTAAATCCTCTGCGTGTGTTGTGGCTGTTTTAGTTCACACTGAAATCTGAAGTGACACTATTCAGAACAGAAAAGGAGAGCCAAGACGTAAGTCTGCCATGTTCAGATAAAATTATGGAAACTGAAATTAGACTTTTTTTCAGTTGACAAGCTGCTTGTGAGTCTTAAGACTTGTTTCATTAAGCTGTTTTATTTGTAACGGAGTGGCGTGAATTGAAAACAAACGGTCGATATACGGATATGGCACACTAAACATTTACTGTCCTGTTTTCTTTGTCTTTGTTTTTAGATTTTCAATTAACACTATTTAAAAAGCTTAGAATGCTCTTTTGACTGTACCATCTCACACGGCTGATCCTCAGTTAACAGGGCCGAGTAGAACTACAAGGATTTGAGTCCCTGTTCTCTCCGCTGTTAACATGTTGACAGGGCCCGCTATCAACCGCTTTTACCAGAGTTTGCAGCGTGGACAATCTGGATTTACAGTGACGACTGTATCTAAAGAAGGGTTAGAGTCCCCTCAGGGTTAGAGTCCCTTAGTGTTAAAGGGTTAGAGTCTTAGAGTCCCCAAGTGTTAAAGGGTTAGAGTCCCTTATTGTTGAAAAAAAAAAAAAGGAGTAAAATAAACAAAGGTGAGAGACCTGCATGTTTTTATTTTCTATTGAACTCTTTTAAAACTTTTTTATTTTTCCCTGTTGCTTTTAAATGTTTTTCTGTAAAGCACTTCGAATGACCTTGTTGTTGAAATGTGCATACAAATAAACTTGCCTTGCCTTGCTTAATTATGGCTGACATTCCTTTTCTTGTATTCTTTTCCTGCTTTCTCAGAAACTATTTTATAAATACACTTTGTGTTTTTATTACTGGAAGCACCCAGGGCAGGCCGTGATGTCAGAGCTGTTCTTCACTTCTTCACATTGTGTTGATTATGTTAATTTTTTTTTAATATTTTAAACTAAAATTCTGGCCACATGTTTGGCATTGTACATTTAAAAAGTACTTCTTTATTGTCTACAGCAGTGCATGATGGCCTGAAAGCTCATACACAGACACACAGCAGTCCAACATGGTCTCAGCAGCAGCACACGGTGGAGGAGTAGATGAATTCTGGTTGGGATGGATTTGGTGTGTTGTTTTCGGTGGTATTTTCCCATAGATAGACAGACAGCCTTTAGTCTGGTTACGCAAGGCGAGTTCAGCTTGTTGCCAAGACTAACAGGCAGACTGGTGGTTTGGAAAACAGCCAGCTGAACTCTGTCAACCCTCTCCTCGTCTTCATCTTCTTCTTCTCTGAAGGATAATCTGTTCATTCGTCTTCATATCTTCAAATTCTTCTGATATCGACCACGAGATTGTTTAACAAGGTGGAAAGGCTCAGATTCCGCAGTGATTTATCCTTTTAAATTAGTTTTCTTTTTTTTATCCAAATAAAAAATTCATATCCTTCTGTAGGACACCATGAAGGTCAGAGGTCACAGTGACCTGAAAACAGAGGATGATCATTTATAGTCAAAAATTACTGTTCAGAACAGCATTTTGACTTTGAACGTGTGTGCAGGGGAATGCGTAACATTGTCTTTTTCCTGAAGAACATGCTGTAATGGTACCCCTAAGTAATGCACTGAATCTTTAACTGCTGCTGGAACTGAGCAGTGGCCTCCCAACAGGAAGTAAGCGTTTGCAGTCATTTGAGGCCTTTTTTTCTTTAAATTCTATCTTTCTGTTTTTCTTTTTGATTGAAGAACACGCAGCAGGGTTGTGTAACAGAACATAACTAAACATGATTTTTGTTTTTCTTTACTCCATCTTCTTCATCGGTATCTGTCAAAAAAGGTTTGCCTTTTAAAAAAATTGTTACGGTTTGATGACTAGAATCAATTGTCCAAACTGTTGCCAATTAATTCTCTGTTGGTCAGCTAGAATTGTTTCAATATTTAAACTGTAACTTATATACTCACAGTTTTAGTTCTAATTGCTAATATACATGTAGAAAATGTGCAATATGAAGTAAAAGTAGAATCATACATGAACACTGGTGTTCCTTTACATATAGCATCGCTCATCTTTGGCCATGATAGAAACACTTTGTGAAGGGGATTTTAATCACCAAAATGTATGTTTTTGTGCTATAAATACTCACACAGTGTATGTATCCTGTGTATCCTTGACTCAGTGACAGGCTGCAAGTGGTGAGATATATTAATGTAAAAAACACCCACACATTTTTCACCTGCTATTATGGAGTGAAATGTGTTTGTCACATACATTCAAGCAATTATGAAGCCCTATTTACGCTTTTCTGTATGTAAGCACCTAATCAGAACACAGAGCAGCTGGCACGGTGTGTGTGTGTGTGTGTGTGTGTGTGTGTGTGTGTGTGTGTGTGTGTGATTTTCAAATTGTAAACTAAACACACAGATATTCATAGGTAATTACTGTTGATAGATGATGTTCCTCGTTCAACACGCTGCGCTTTACTTTAATGAAGCCATTTCATTGGTTAAGATCAGTTTTGATTGACAGGTGACAAAGTAGATAATTTGCATGAAGCTTCAAAGTCTTGCTGGTGGTACCAGAAACACCACCAGTAGATTTCTGAGTGGAAGTTAAAATACTAGAAGATTTCCCACGATTGATCAGGAATAGGCCTGTGGTAGGCTACATACAGGTTGCCATGATAAGGCTGTTACTGTTCTGGTGAATCACATCTTTATTTCTACCCAAGGCTGTTATTGCTGTTAGTGTTTTTATAGCATGGTTATTTGACAATTAAATGTATTTTAAACAATAACAAAAAATTACAAACAGTAGAAAAAACAGGTCCTGAAAGCTTAAATGATTATTTTCTATGTAAACTAAAATAACTAAATTACAAACTAACGTGCAGGGGAAGAAATAGAATTATACATCTGCTCACTGTTGCTAAATGTCGGGGCAAATATTTATACATTTACTTACGTTTACTTTTTCTTTGATGAGATATTTCCTAAAACTTCATGTAAACTAGACATCGTTTGGGACTGAATATCTAACATTGTTGAAAGATAACTAGCCCTAAAACCTCAGACTTCAGAAAAGACACCGGTCAGTAGTGAACACGATGGAAAAACATCTGCTGAGTTTATTTCATTTTAGGCAAACAAAATTCCGAAAACTGTGTAACTTAACTGTCATGCATCCTTTTAGAGCAGACGACGGCATTTAATCTATATTACAATATCATGACAATAATAAATGATCTTTAACATAAATTACTTTATTCTACAAATCAGAGATCATTGACGTCGTTTAGGTTTACTTCCGATTTCTGTCGTCCTCATAACAGTCCTCATAACACACACAGTGGAGTCAGGAGGCCTCCTTGAAAATCTCATTAACAGAATGTTAATATATTTCCCAGAGGGCCTTTGTGGTTTTGTGCTGTTCTTTGTGTCGTTTCTACTTATTTGTCTTTCTCTACGTGTTGATGTCACTTCTTCAGTTAGTTCATCAAAGGCTTGCTTCAGATGAGACTCCTCTTCTACCTCACAAACAAAGCACTTCTGTGCCTCTTGTCGCCTGCTGTCCTAACACCCTGCTACAGGGGGTTAGTGCCTCCCAGTGGACAGACGGTCCACTACACTGAGCCTTCATTTCTGGCTGTATAGATATAGAAAGATTCTTTATTTCCCCTCTCAGTACTACTACCACAGTTATCATGTTGCAGCTTCTACTACTGCTACTACACTGACTACACACCTGTTCAAAGGAGGAGGACAATTTTCAGAAAACAATAGTATTAGCAGTACTGATACTACACTGCTGCTACCAGTATTAGCAGCAGTAGGCTACTAATACCACCTCAGCTATACTATAGCTATTACTATTGCTAATACTGGTCTTACTATTTATATCACTACTGTGCTGTGGCTACTAAAGCTGGTGCTGCTACGTCTACTACCAGTAGTGACTACTTATTCTGCCAGTAGCAGTATGAACAGTACAACTACTAGCGCTAGGGCTACAACTACAGTACCGTTCCACTGCTGCAGCTACTAGAAATAGTAGTACTACAGCTAACAACTAATACTATAGTCATTACTATTACTTCTACACTCACAAGTAATACTATTGCGACTATGGCTGCTACTACTGCACTGATTCTCCTGGCAGTATTACTAATACTTGTAGGCTAATACCACTATAAGTAGTAATCATTACACTGCTGCTGCTACTGCTAATACTTCTATAGTTATTAACAATCCTGCACGATACTTACTATATATTATTACTGCCAACCCTACAGATACTACTGTCCCTATTTCTTGTGGTATCACTATTGGTACTACTACTGTTGGTACTACTAATTAGTACGATAATTAATGCTACTACTGCAAGAAGTACTTCTTCTAAAGTAACGGTACCACTACAACAGCCTCTGCTGCTATGGTAGTGCAGTAGCTATTACGACTACAACTACCACTTCTACTACACTGCTGCCAGTAATAGTACTGTTGCTTCTAGTATTACTCAAACTGCTGCTGTTACTAATTCACTCTGACTGATAGTGCTGCTGTTGCAATTACTTCTGTAGTACTGCGACAATTCTATACTGTTATATAACAGTTTTAAGTGACATCACATTTCAGTAGATAACAATAGTGAGTCATGGAGTGTAATGCTGATATAAACAAGAGTACATGGTGGTGCGTCTCCTGAGTGTTGGTGTTGAATATTTGGCTGCTGTTGACTTTAAACATGGAGCATTAATCACTAACTCTGCATCAGCTGTACAGCGCTGTGTATTTATGAAAACTGTTGTTTGTTCAAGGAAGGAACAGTTTCAACAAATATTTAATGTGGGAATGTTGCTGGTTAGGGTTTTCACTTCTTTTCATCTTGATGTTTGCATGAACAGTCCTTTTTACACATTTAGCTAGTAATGATTTTCTGCCAATTTATACTTCTAAAATACTCTTCTAAAATCCACGATATTTGCAGTGATGCATGGTTAGTCCAAAATTGAGGTGTAAAGGATAAAAGTAGGACTGGAAATAAATCAGATGTGTTAAATAACAAATATTATGAATCTCTTACTGACCTGTGAGTCTCATATTCTCAATGAATAAATTACCTGAATCACATATAATTAAGCTGCTGATAGCTCCAAAGGCTGATGTTATCTACCCAAAAATCCAAACAGCCCATTCAGAAATTCTAGACATTTGTTATACTGTAATTAATTAGCATGAATTCATGCCCTGATATATTAAAAAAGATGTTGTTCCATTTATTGTAATCAAGATGAATATGACAGTTTATTGCAATATAGATTTTAGGTCATGTTGGCCAGCCTTATATAAGTATTTGTTTAATTATAGTAGATTTTAGCTGTCAAACCTGACACAGTGTGAACTCTACTTGAACAGCTTAGGTGGGAGTTTAAGTGTATTTTGTAAACTAAATGTTTTTGTATTTGTGTCTTGTCAGAATCTTGCAGATTAAAGGCCGTCAACAGCTGCTGAACAGTGAGATTCTTAATCTTCAGGAGAAGAAGAAACAGACCGAACAAGAGTCAAAGAGAAACTCCAGCCTTCAGAGGTCCACTGTAGGTGACCTCAGCAGGAAACTGATTTCATACACACTGGTCAGACAGGGGGTTAAAAAAAAATGTTATCATGTCAAAAAGTATGTTAATGCATATAAACCTTAGGCATTGCCAAAATGTGATATTTGGTGATAATAACCTAATAATAATAATAATAATAATCCTGCTACCACTACTTTTACTTCTACTAAAGATAATAGTAGTAGTAATCTTAATTTATATAGCACCTTTCTTAACAATGTTACAAAGTGCTTCTTTAAAAGAGCACACAAACATGCAAGTAAAAGAAGCACACATAAATGATCATGTGAAAAGCTTTAATAAAAATAGAATATGTTTTTTTTTCAGCTCCTTAAGTGTTACCAGAGCTTTTAACAGCATTGTATAATCTTTATTTGCTGATTAAGACCAAGAGAGAAAAAAAGCTAGTTAGTAGATCTTTAGTTAAGGTCATTTTGTTACACAGTCTGATCCAAAGTTCAGGTATTAACATGCATGCTTGAGCATGCTGTGCATTGTAACATTGCTGATGAAGAATGTTTTCAAAAGCTGGTCATAAGTCAAGGCAGAACAAGAAGAGATAAGACTAGAAACGACAATAAGCTGTGATTGATCGCGTCTGGAGGAGTCAGAACCTGCAAGAGAGAAGTCATGAGTGTTTAAGTAAACCATTGCCATCACTGTGTTTGCTCAGAGCAGCTCCTGTTAAGCCTCTTAGTATAACTTGTTTGTCCATTATTTTCCTATTCAGTTTCAGCTGTGTGCTTGTCGGGAGCTTCAGAGCGCCATCACTGAGCATTTGATCCAATCAGAGAGGCTGGTGTTCCAGGAGGAGGCACTGAGCGCACTCCATAACCTGCTGACCCAAGACCTGCAGAGGTATCAGGAAGAGACGCAGAGACTCACCTGTTTCACGCAGAAAATACTCAGACAATCCCACAGGTAGCCGTTTAAAAAATGTTTAATTAAACTTTGATTGACTTTACATTATTTCAAAACCTGTTGTTTAAAATTTAAATGACGTTTAAAATCACATTTTGTACTTCAAACTTTTTTTTTTCAAACGTTTACTTTAGCTTATTGTAGTGAAAGGCCCTGTTTAATTGAGATCACTTTCTAAGACAAAAACTGTGACTTGACATCCCCATCTAAAGACGTTCATTATTTAAACATTTCACTTTTATATTTTTCCTTCAGCTCAGACAGAGAGGAAACGTGCACCAGCAGAGAGAGAGACCGCAGCATGCAGGGAAAGACCGAGACAGAACAAGAAAACAACATGGTAAAGTCAAACTCAGCGTCCACAGCTCCTCTCTGACCGGTTGTCTCACCTCGCTTTGGGAGTTTTAAACTTGTCTTGCATCCTTGGCACCGTCAAACTTATCAAAAACAATGCCTAACGGTATTTATTGTTTGTTTGTGGGTGGGTTTTTGGTCTCACACCTAATTCATCATCATTCTGTAGCATTAGGGTTCATCAGCACAGTAAAGCTCACATTGATGTTTCGATATTTTTCAATTCCGCTTTCTGACCCAATCAGAATGCACCTTGACTTCAATTACAAGGAACAGGAAGGAAGGGGTAATTCCACACTGCATAAGATGGTCTCATGCTATTTTGCCTGATAACGGTTTTGGTGTGAGAATTCTGCCGTAATATTTCTCACTGCAGGTGTTGAAATTGTGGAGGAGTCGTTTTATCCTCCTTTTCCTGGGAATATTATCCTCACTCGGATTGGACAGATGAATTCATATCTCAACCCCTGACATGGCAGGGAGACCTCTTCTCTGCATGATGTATCTGTACGACTTCTTTCTCTGGCACAATCACAAATGTAATGATATCCAACGAGGAGAGATCTGGGCCATACTATTCCAAAGTAGTTGGGTTCAGGCCCAATTATGAGTGTATTATTTGTGTCCTTCTAAAGAGTCACATTCTTTCACAGATCGGACAGTGAATTCTTTCTGAATTGAGGTTTCCGTGTCCAATGTTTCATTAATCCCACATTCCAAATATGTTATAGTCTCACTACAGCTGATGGCAGTGGTGTGAATGGTGACTATAATCTGACTGCGCTTGCAGTTGGGCAGCAGAGATCTCCGCTTGTAATATCGCTGATAAAAGTTTTATTCAGGGGTCAGTCACTGCACAAATGTGTTCCTTCATGTCACACATGTTTTCTTTCAAGTCCACAAATGTGTCGAGGACAATGGTTGCATGCTGCCATTTCAACATGGCAGCATTTCAGGCTGAAGCTCTTTTGTGGAGGACTTGGGCGTGACATTTGGTATTTCCTACAAATTCTTCCTTCCGTCCTGATAAAATGATGTCTGAGCAGTACTGATGACATTGAGCAAAGAAGCAGTCAAATGTGAGTGGCATCGAATAGAACTGTGATACAATGTTGTGAGAACTTCACAAACTACAAACCTAACTCTGAATGGTTCACTAGCATCCCCAGCCAAAAGTCCATAATTGATATGTTAATTATTAATGAAAATAATAATTGGTTGCAGCACCAGCCACCCAAATTACGGAACCATGTTTCATTTAATTTCTGTAACAGGAGTTTTCATCATCTAAACCAGTGGTTTCCAACCTTTGTGTCTAAGAACAAGCAAATATCTGCTGGCAGTCCTCACATTATTTCATCTGAATAATTTTAAAACAAAGATGTAAAACTGTCCGTCATATAACAAGTTTGTAAGAGAACTTTTAGGGAAAAACTTCTACAAAAATCAGCTGCGAGAAAATAACTGAATCAAAAATATTTTGTTTCAACAAGGTGAAGTCTAAATATAGTGGACAAGAAATAACCAAAAAAGCAAACATCCACCTCGAAAAGAAACCTCTCAGTAAAACTGTGTCTTTGTCTACCTGTGTGTGTGTGTGTGTGTGTGTGTGTGTGTGCGTGCGTGTGTACACGCGGCCATGCGCGTGTGTGTGTGTGTCTGGCATTGGTCCAGCTGTTGTCAGTCTTTCTCAGACAGTCGGAGTGGAGACAGAGGAAACATCTGCTTGCTCATCTGGCTCTGTCTGTCACACACACAAATGCAGACCTACAGATACACACACATTCTTTTACCATCATTCCCTAAAAGAAAACCCATAATAGACTGACACGGTTGTGACGGGAAACGATGAGGGAAGAAACCTGGTTTGGAGTCTTATTATAACAGGAAACCTGTCAAAGTGTCATCACAGTTTAACTCGTGAAGCTTAAACACAAACAGAAGACAGGCCGGCTGCCAACATACTGCATCTCCTGCACAGAAGTACAACATGCAGTCGTATGGTTTTCAGTTCAGACGCATTTTCAGTGAGAAATACCAGACTTTTCCCCTAAAAGTGAAACTGCTTCCCAAATGCATCATTTGAGTAGATTTTAAGAGTTGGCAGTTTGTAGTCTGCTTCTTCACACCATCTGAATTCATATAGTATCAGTTAGTATAAATGTCAGTGGATCATGAGTGTCATTTGGGGACATGTCCCCACCACTTTTTAACGAACAAATGAAAATGAGAAATGTTTATTGGCACAATAAGAAAACGTGCAATGCAATTAAAATATAGAAGAAATAAATGTGCATTGTCATTCTGTTATATTTTTATATTTGTCACCTGCCAGCTGAATTTTTTTTGTTTCAATCTATATAAATGCCATCATAAATTGGAGCATAAAATGTCTCCAGACTGCAGGAAATTAAGTGTTAAATGCTCCAATTTTGTTGCTGCGGTCAAAGTCAAACTCCTAATCGCGCTACAAAATTCATGGTTTGTAATTGCCCCCTTTGAACGACACATGTAAGTGTTTTCTGATCTGAAATAGGACAACATCATTTGACTCCCTGCCTTTTCCGAATACATTTTCTCTTTCTGACACCGTTATTAAGACTGGATTAGGGTACGACGATGAAGCCAGTGTTGACTGTTGGAAACGGGAAGCGAACATCAATCTCCTCCACTTAAGTCATATTTTGTACAGCTGCTTGGAGGTCTTTGTCACTTGAACATAAAAATATGTTGTTATTAGGTATTTGCTGAAATGACTGGTGCTACTCTTGGAAGGAGAGTCTTGGTTATTAAGCACTGACTGCATTATTTCTGTATGTACAACGTGAAAGTTGTGCTAAGGCCGTCAATTGATGCAATGCTCCACAATGCATGTTTACAGCACGTGAATTTTTGCCGGGAAACAAGGGCTTCACTCGCTTCTGAACATTAATCAAACTTGTTTTAAGCTGTTTGATCAGATGAACAATGTGGTTTTAGAGGACCATGTCTTGATACAGCCAGGTACCTTCTCAAGGATAGATAAGCACAACACAAACACCCCTCCCTTTATTTGTACAAATTACTTATTGCAAACTGTCCTGATTTTACCAGGAGAGCCTCTGGTGTTGCCCCACACTTACTTTTTTTTTATTACTCAGTAAGTTTGAAGTTAGTTTGTATTTTTGTTTCTGTACTGTGTGCCAAAATATTAACGTTACAGGACAGAAACATTGTTATTTAGGCCAAATTTGTAAAACTAATATTAATAAGACATTGAGAGTTTGACGAAAATATACATCTGTCACCTAGTCATTGATTTGATGCCCTGACAGCTGAAGACATTTCTGAAGTGGATTTAAATGGAAATAGGTCAACTCAGTACAAAACTGGATTTTACAGCTGACAGAATTTACGGAAGTTGGCTTGTGACACTTTATAACCCCAATGCCTAAAAAAGCAAGAGGCAAATGACTTCATGTTGTTTCTGTTGGGGGAGTGGGGGGGATTCAAACCCTCGACACCTTCAGCTCCGCGGTCTCATGCTTTGTCCTGCTAATCTAGGCGAGCCATTCTGCCCTAAAAGAGGCTCAGTAACATTTCTATCAGATAATTTGTGGTTAATCTGTCAGGAAATGAGCCAGGATTTGTATAATCACACATAATTTTGATTAGATATAAATCTAATATATTTAGATTGGATTTATTAAAGATGTTTTTGTAGATCCAGCGATCCATCCTGGACTAAACAACTTTTGGAGAAAAATCAGTGTGAAATGAACCTTGCACAGTCTGCTGAAAGCGAGCTCTGTATGTCCTATCAATATATTTATATTAACATTTATGAATGCATTTATTAAACTGAAACATCCTCAGTCTCAAAAAGTACCCATAATTAGAGGTTAAGGCCTCAGGTGCACAACATACTGTAGAACAGCATTGTGAGTAAGAATGATATAACAACAAATCGGCCTAGAGTTTCACCCAACAGACTTATAATAATGTATTTCATTATAAAGAGCTGAAGTAATAACTATAAATGTGTACATCACTGTGTAGAACAGGTATTGTCTTCATGGATTTTGAGAGGAGGAGCTGGATGAGCTAAACTGTCCCTATTCCTTCAGAATGCACTCAGAGACAGAAATTATCAAAAACATATAAATCCCTCTGAATACTCCAAAAAAGAAAAAATATTCTATAAAACATAGGACACAGGTGCAATTAGTCATCAGATGAGGACATCTGAGGTGTAAAAAAGCCTCCATAGCACTTTATGCTCATGGGGAAATGTTTGCAAAAAATACATTTTGTAAAGATTAGTGTGGGATGGGAGGTACTGGTTTTTGTTTTAGTGTAGTTGTAGTTTAGCAGTTTTAGTGTAGGACAGATGCAGGACTGAGATCCTGAAGTGCATTAAAAAACTATTTCAAAAAAGTCAACAAACTGAAACATTATGATAAAGTGACTGGCTACAAGCTGTACTGAATAATTTTGTCAGAGTAGCTTCTTTTTACTGTTCTTCTTATTTCACGAATCTCTCTTGATTCATTGTTTTTTTTTTTCAGATTTTATTGACAATTGACTACTGTAAGTAATCTGTAATCTGCAGATTATTTTCTTGGTTAGTTGTTTAGTGTGCAAGTACATGAAAATAGGGAAATAAAGTGAAATTTAGTGAAACAATTAGCAAAAGCCCAAGGTGATTCCTTAAAATTTGTTTTGCCCAAAACCCAAAAATGTACTCTCAACTATCAAATAAGAAATAGAAAAGCAGCGAACGTGTACAAGTGAGAAGCTGGGATATATTCAGTGGGTTTATCTGTCCATTCATTTTCTGTAAATCAATTTTCCAGTTCTACAAGATATATCATATTTATTTGTATTGCTTGTAAAAAGCATATACAGTATATTTCACATTTTGTTTTACTTGAGAATAAATTTGAACAGTTTCCACTGTTGCTTTGTGCATTATACAGTCTGCGGACAACGTGTGGGACCCTTACTAAGCTGTTTATTTTCCATATTTAACATATCGCTAATAGATTTTTCATATTTGATAGGCTTACTCAAAAAAGGACCCAGCGATCGTACATCTGTGAACTCATTTTTGTTATTCCCACTGTAAGAGACATACATCCAGGATTAGTTTCACCAGAATTCAGCCTGATTTGTAACAAATATTCCTGTTGAAGGGATAATTGTCACTAAGAAAAGTGTGAACACGGTCAGGCCTTAGGGCTCGGACAGAGCTCCGGTTGGTTGATTAATCCCTGTTATTTACAGCCATGGAGAGGGAAGGAGCAGTGGGCAACAACAACAACACAGGAACATATTGCCAAGCAGATTGCCTTGGGCTGAACGTAGCTCCACGTTTTGCTCTCTGTGAGACACGTACGTGTCCAACACAAGACTGCTGCCACTAATTGGTTATTTATTTTATTTTTTATTATGCTGTTGTTTTCTCTCTCTCTCTGGTGCAGTGACAGTTTTGCTTTGGTGTAGCGTTTGAGTGCATCTGCTAGTTTACATCTGTGTCGCACCTAAAACTTGGACAACAGTTGAAGAAGCACTGAGGGTAAAAGTCATGTTTGAGAGACTCTCAAAATACAGTTTAAATTGAAGACTACACACACACTACATACACGGACTACATGTGATAGTAGCAGGAATGTTAACAATCACCGTAATTATCTTTTCTCAGCTGCAGAAAGCATTCTATAATAAATATATTCCAAGACGAACTACAAAATAATAAAAAGAAATTTGAAAACGACCAGGAGAAACTACAAAACAATCTGAGAAAGCTAGACTACTACCTAAAAAGCCAGAAAGCTACCATAAGCAATCATGAAAAGACAAAACACAGCCTAAAGTGACTAGAAAATAACATAAGGAGCTTGAAACCAATAAGGGAGAATCTAGAAAAACAATCCAGAGGACACCAAAAAGCTATGACACTTTACAACAAGCTAGAAGAACAATTTAAAGCTTGACCAGAACATAGAGGACAACCCTAAAGAAGCTAGATAACACTCAAAGGAGAAGCTAGAAACAGTTGGAAACAACCATGAATAACTGAAAGCAGCAGAAGCTAATACACAGAAGCTAGAAAGCAACATTACTTCCCAAAGATTAGTACTTCTCTTATGTGAGATGTTTTATTTTGCTAAAACTGACCAAAAATCTTTGACATCATCCTCAGAGCTGTTAAGTGGCCATAAACACATATGTATATAATAATGAAATGTTTGACCTTCTCTCTAAAAATTGAGAAGAGGCAGGACTGGTCCTGATAGTTGATCAAATCTATGTTGTTTTCTGCTTGAAAAGTTCTTGTTTTTTTCTATTGTTTGGTGTGCAGATGGCCAAGAGCTGAACGTCTGTGTGACCTCTAGATAAACCAGCCTGTCCGTTGGAGAAGTCCATGTAAACTCACTTCCAACACCTTCTACACCAAATTAGATTTTCTTTTTAATATCTAGGAGATGGAGCCACAGCAGTGTGCAGTTAAAGAAGAACTAGTCAAGAATAGTATTACTCAGCCAGTTGTATAATGTCTTCTGTGGCTCTGGAGGAGCTTCGCCAAGTCTGAGAAAGTGACCCTGATGACATCACTATATCAGGGTTATCAGCAGGGGCTTGGCGTCCACAACATTTAGCTGAAAGGTTGCATTTTCAAACTGGAGGTGTGGAGGTTTGTAACATGTTGATAACAGGCAGGGAGAATGTAACAAAAAACTATGGTGAGTTGCATTATGGGCAATGTAGTGGAACAGGGTTTTTGGAGCTTGCTATAGCCCAACTAAAATAAGCCTCTGTTGGTTCGATTTTGACAATTATATTGTTAATGTGCCTCACAAAAGTCGCTCCAATTTTATGGAAGTGTAATACTAAATCAGTGGAGTGCCCCTTTAATAGATGTAGATAAATGTAAGGTTTCACTTATCAAAAATCAAAAACACAGACTTTTCTTGCCTAAAAAACAGATGTTTAGATCAGGCTGTTCAGAACGGGTTTTAATTGATCATGCCAGGTGTGTTTTTAAAAAAAACTTGAAATGACAGTTGTCTTTGTCGGATTTATGCCGAGAAGATGAAATGTTTTCTCTTGCAAGTAGAGGAATTTTGTTCCTTGTTCCTTTGTTCCTAAAGTCTTCAGCCTGTAATTAGGATCTTTCATGCTCATCAACATTGTGTGTTCACTTTTAAAAAAAATAAATAAATAAATCAGAGCAGCACATCATCATTTCAAAACAGAATAACTGAGTCTGGAGAAAAGTTCAGTCACTGTGCTCACCACCTCTCTCACCTTTTATTCCGGGGCCAAACCCCTGAGCACTTCTGCAAAAAACATCAGTGAGGCATTCAGTGCTTTTCCCAGGATACATTGCTGTCACATATCTGGGTCAGATGGTGTACAGCTCTACGCCATATGTCTGTACTGTAGTGAGGCCACAGGGAATGGAGCCCCAATAGTGTATGTGTGTGTCCAGGACTTGTGGGAATATGGACCCGGTTTTCCTGAATGAGGCCGTCTCTGCATGTCTGTCTGTGTGATTGTTCTGTTTTGAGGATTTTTTTTTTTTCTCAATCTCCCAAGTTCTTTACCTAAAATTACATTTATTATGTCGTTTTAAAGAACAAGACAAGACAAATGAAAATGATTTTAATTATTCCTTATTCCTGACATTTCCTTCATCTTATATACATTTCTACATCGATCACTCTAACTTACATTTAATGGCAGCCTGTTCTTAGTGGTGAAGTGTAAGGACCACACCAGCATCTAACCGGACCCAAGTGACATTTGCAGGTAGTTGCAGCATCAGAATTATGAATTGTGTAAAATATATTTAATAATGGGGCAAGGGTGGCTCGGTTGGTAGAGCACGCGCCTCATGTACAAGGCTGAGTCCTTACTGCAGTGTCCTGGGTTCGAATCCAGCCTGCGGCCCTTTGTTGCATGTTGCCCACTCTCATTCTCAATCTCTCATCCTCATTTCATTGCTATCCACTGTCTTATCAAAATAAAAAGGCAAATATCTTAAAAAAAAACATCTCTCTCTCTCTCTCTCTCTCTCTCTCTCTCTCTCCATAAATATATTAACTAATATTAATTATTAGGCTTAGAAATATAATATACACACATTTCATCACCAATGAGTGTGTCCCTGTCTCCTCATTCCAAGAGGCTCAGGGCAAAAATAATAACATTAAAAATCATCAGCTCAGACCTAATCCCACCACGGCCTGTAAACATTTTAATACCATGGTGATTAGCAGTGATCCTAAACCCCAGACACCCACCCTCCCTTTCAGTCCTCCCTGGCCCCTGCTCCTCTCCCACCCCAGTTTTGGCTCACCGTCCCTGGGGGAGGCGGTCAGGCGAGTCCCTGGATTAAGGCCACTCGGTGCTTTGGACCCTCGAGCCCAGAAAGTTAAACCCCTGGACATTCGCCACTTCATTTCTCTAAGTGGCATCGGCCTCCTTGTTATGATTGTTAATTAAAGTTGGATTTAATCAAGTGGCTTTCTGGCAAAAAATGTAAAATGCTGCCATTTTCCTCTTATTTGGTGCCCTTTTTTTGCGTTTTGGAATCTCCATGTGTATCTATCTGTCCTTTTTATTTCTACGTGAGAAAGTGGGATGTTGTGTTTTGGGGGAGGGTGGTGATTTTTCAGACTAGGGAGCAGATGTTGCACTTTCTCAAGAGGGATTTATGTCAGGATAGGAGCGCACACACACACACACACACACATTGGTGTTCATGTCATTATGTATGCAAAAGTCAACAATATCTATACACTGTAAAAACAGGCGACAGATACGGATAGATAAACAAACTATTAATGTGCTGCTTTCAAGGAATAATTTAAAGTTCAAATTAAAGTGATGTTTGTGTAAACTAACTGCTTTCAAGGTGTAACATCTGTAAGAAGTAACACAATCTTCCTCTCCTGCTTATTCAGCCTTAGTTGGTCTGGTTAAAGTAAAATAGGAAGGAAGCGCAACATACCATACCAGGACACATGTCTGTTGTCTCCTGCATGTGGTCCCATTCCGCTTAATCTCAGTGCTACACTGATTTAGCATTGCACTCCTATATGTTAGTGGACAATGGACAGTTTTTAAGTATAAAAATTGATGCCGCAGAACCAGAGATATCATCTTCTTTATGATATACATATGCAGTAGTACTTCCCATCACCTGTAAAAAGACACTGATGTGTGAAATTATCCTGTAATTACCACTGGTAGCCACATTGGTTGGTCTTTTTCAAAAACTTTTGTTTAAGTAAACTGTTCTTTAGTTTCTTCCTCTCTTCTTTTCTGTGGAAGTATATATCATCTGGTAAAAGAGGGAAATAATCATAAAATCCTCTTTGGAATTTTATATTGCGCTATCGAGAGAGCTATATAAGTCAAGAATCTTCATCACATTTATGGAAAATTCATACTGAATACAGCATTGCCATTAACAGATCTCCTCATTGATTTGCAACATTGCCCTCAATAATCAAATGCACTCAGAAATTGTAAAGAGTTAGCTACTGTGGTCTAACCTGGATGGTAAATTTATCTTTTCTGTATCTCACCGCTAACCTTGTACATCTGCTGCTCAGAGTCCCAGTTAACAGTTTTTTGGGGATCTGTTATTGTCTTCACCTCTTTCAGCACGCACCCGAGTCCTCTTCATCCCAGTCACCACTTAGTCCTCAACAGACCGACAGGAAAGAAGAGGCAGAGCAGACCTCGAGAGCCAGTCACAAGAAACCATCTCCAGGCCTGTCCGGCAGGTCAAACCTGCACCGAACCGGCAGCATCAAGGATCTGATCAATAAATTCTCTGGTCAAGATCACCCGCAGAGCCCCTACTCCGGAACAAGACAAGTCCGAAAGTCTGCTTCTGCAGAGGCCCTTGTGACTCCAAAATCCAAGTCGAGTCAGTCCACACCAAGCAGCTTCGGACAAGACGAAAGTGCACTTCCCAGCATCACTGTGACCCCTCCATTAAGGGAAACCAGTCAGAACGGGACTGAAACAGCACAGAGAGGCACCAAAATCAGTAAGATCACTGCAAGAATCGATTGTCCAGTAGGAAGCAGCACTGAGAAGCCTAATTCACAGCCAAGGAAGAAAACACAAATCACAGACTCTGGTAGAGAGTCAGTGGCTGACTCTGGCATGGGATCGGTAAGCAAAGAAATACCCCTGACACATTCCGATGTCCTTGCATGAAACGAAAAGCTCTGCATCCTTTCTGCATGAAGACGGCCCAGCAGCATGGCACTGCAAGTTTTTAAACGCATCTCCTTGCATGATTACAGCGCCGTTCTCAATCAACGTGGCAACTCAACAGCTTGAAACCACAACGAGATTCTAAAGCAAGTGCTCTTTAATCGTACTAATCAAAATGGCCTCAAGACAGATTTAACGCTGATTCTTTCCCTGCGAATGAGCTTCACGTGTTGCCATTTTTGTCTTTGGTCTAAAATAATAACTTTTACGCTATGACTGTGTTGATTTTTGCTGCATGAACCTTTTGTCCATTTTTGCAATAAGTTTGCTTGAGTTTCTGTCTGTTAATTTGCTTCCAGCAGCTTTTTGTGGCATATTATCTACAGTATGGGCAAAGGTAGGACAAAGTTTTTGTTTTGGAAGCCCAAGAAAACCATGGCTATGAAGTCCCAAGTCAAGACTGACAAGTTCCAAGCTAAGCTCAAGTACTAAACTATCAAGTCTTAAATAAGTATATTATCTGTCTGTCTGCACTACCAAAGCTTTCCGTCCTCATCAAGCAACGTGATTGGCTGCTGTCGCATTGATTCAAACTATGTTGTCAAGAAGAAGAGTTGATTCTCTGCACACTTATCTTTGGGGAGAATATTTTAAGAGAATATTATAAGTCATTCCAAGTAAGAATGGAAAAAATAACCCCTTTTTTTTAATTTTTGTACCATATATTCATTTTCACTCTGTTGTCAGTCACTAACAGCATCCGCACATGCTCAGTAGATTCACCCTTATCACTTGTACATGTTTGTAGGTTATCACCCCTTCAGCAGATGTCGTCATCCAGGTTTATTTCATCCCTCTTTTGCCCTTCTCCTCCAGGAGTCTGAATTTGATTCAAACAAGCACCTAGACAGCCCGTCAGAGGAGGAGCCCACCACACCCCGAATTATGACGACCAGCCAGAACCCGAAATATCAGCTGTACCTCAGCAACGAGATGAAGACCAACGGGGTGAGTGGCAGGGATGCAGATGGTCTAGGAGGCACCGGGTCAGTGGGGGAGAATGGCCCCAAGCTGGCCCGATGGGAGACCACCCGGCTGGGACTGAACCACTACAGGGGGTCCCTGGAGTCCCTGGCCTCACGGGACTGGGACAATTCGTCTGACAGGGTGGGTGAGGCAGACCGTGGACTTATGTTTGTGTGATTCAGATCAGGGAGATTAGAGACAGTTTTTATGATAATCAGATGCTGTTTTACTGCTGGATATCTGTGAATCCAGAAACACAGAACCAATTATTAAACAGTGCCATCTCCTGGACAAAACCTAATATTAATGTTGAAACCTAAGACTTAATTTCTTGAAACAAATTGCTTGTGCAATAACTTTTTGAATTGTAATTTTACTTTTTATTCTAGTGCAGAAATCTTATTCTGTCTTATTTGAAAATCTTCAAAATGACTTTTTGGAAAATGTTAACACCTGTTTTTCACTGTTGTCTGGTCTTCTGCACCCTTTTTAGATCTCAAAATTATCAAGACCCCCACCGATTAGTGGTCAAGTTTCATGTTAATGTTTCATGTTAATTTAAGATGTTTTATTCATATATTTATGTTTATCTTTAATTAAATCCACTCTTTTTAAAAGATGGCACTTCATAAAGCACATCAAAATGACATGGTTAACAGACAGTAATACGGTAAATGACAAGCATGTATTTCCATCTACTGACTACTTCTGCAATCGTTTAACACACACACACACACACATATATACAGTATATATATACACACACATACATAAGACAAGTGCTACATGTCTTATGTAGCATTAGTATCATCCTATATTTCCTTTCCAGTTAATGAACCACGTCTGCCTGTTACCACAATTATAACAGTTTCTAAACTTCTTCTGGATTTGTTTTTGGATCCAAAATTCTAATTAAATGATGGTTGAGAAAGTCTGAATTATACAAAGACAAAAGTCTTTTATCCTGCATCAAATTGAATCCAATCAGTATCTGAACCTTTCATGCAAAATTGCAATATGACTTGTTTTACTGTACTTAATAATAATACAGTATTTACTGTCTGCTACAATAAATAAACTGACTCACCCAACAGTAATTTGCCACATGGTTCATTTGTAATTAACAGCCAATTATACAGTCAACCTTTTTAAATAATAAATTGCAAACTCTCTCTCTTTTGATATTGATTGGTCATTTTGTTTGTTTGTTTGTTCACAGTATGGTGTGGTTGACAGCCCTCCAAGGGTGTTCAACAGTCCGTACAGCACGGCCACCTCCATGGAATACAACCCCATGTACCGAATGTCTGAGTTCAAGGTTTGTAATTTGGATGGAAAAACTGAAACACTGTCTTATTTCTGTATCTTGTTTGTTTTTGTTCCTTTTCCACATACATTGACAAATGTAGGAGACTAAACCCCCCCCCCACACACCTCCAGGTTCAGGGTGGAATTTCTCCCACCACCTCAGAGATGAACCTGTACAGCTACAACAGTCGGAGCTCCAGTCCAGTGGGCCTGCCCTCGCAAACACTCCTCTCCTCCCGCACCCGATTCTCCACCTACGACTCTCTGAGGAGGAGGACCGAACTCAACAACACAGTACGTTTACTCACACACAGATAAGACGCACTCTATCATCATGTCCACATTATATGCTTACATATATTTTTTTGTTGCTACAGGTGGTACCCACCCACTACAGCATGCGCTCTGCCACTCTGCCCAATAAAAAAGACTACATAGAGGAGTTGACCAAACAGTTAGACGCCTGCCAGAAGGTAGGCCTAATCTCATTACTTTAGGAATTCAAACGCATGTTCAGCTGTAAGGATGTGGTTTCCTACTACAAGTAAGAATTGACAGATGTCAGATAGATGCCAGACAGAAAGTCCTGGAGCTTTGAAAAAGATGGGATTGAAGCTAATCATGTGACCCGTGGTGATATCCTGATCAAGTCTTCTTATTTTTAAACAACTGCAATATTACCATTACTATTTTAGCAGACCTACTGTAGAAGAAGTCTCAGGGCCAGATTGACCGCTAGATGGTGCTGCAGTTAATCGTTATATTGTGTGTGTTCCCTCCAGCGTAACCAGTTCCTGGAGGCAGAGAGTGTGGAGATGGAGAAGGAGAGGAACCAGATAAGGTCGGACATTATGTTATATTTCTTTCTGTCTTCTTATTTTCCTGTTTGCTTTCCTACTTTCTGATTGCTGTCTTTCCTGCTGTCCTTCCCCAGTGGTCATAATTTCTCTTTTTTATGAAACTGTCTTTAACAACCTCCACTTGTCGAATTTGTCCCCTTGCTGCAGTGAAAGTGGGTGCTGCAGGGTGTGGTCGGTACACTGTGACTTCACTGGTGGGTGTGGTTTTGTGTGTGTGACGGACTGGACACCTTTAACCCAGTGGTTCTCAACCGTTTCATTCATCCAAGCTCCTGCTTAAATAATCTGTACTGAGTTTGTGCCACTCAAGTTTTTCTTAGAGAAGACTATTATAACACTGAGCTGAAAAGCTTTGTTTGACTGTTTTGCCTCTTTGCACCTGTAACCACACCCACAAGTGATGTAACAGTGTGCTGACCACGGCCCCAGTATGTTTCTACTTCACTTCATCCTTCAAAACAGGATTCTAAGCTGGTTTTAAGTTACTCTTCACTCCTCTCTGTCATCTCAATGTAAACCCCGAGTCTGACACATTTCCATTTGATGACTGTCTTCCTGTGAAGGTTTGAGATGCGCGGCCTGCTTGTGAACAAAGAGGACCTGCTGAGGACCAACACTCAGTTTACCAACGAGATAAAGAGGATGAGAGAGCAGATGATAGAGATGGAGAGAGAGAAGCAATCCATGGACGAGAGATACAGAGAGATGGAGGTGTGAGCGGACGGCTGGCTGGATGGAATGATCCTGTAGTTATCCATGTGTTTGCACGATTGACTCTTCTCTTGTACTGTGCAGATGGAGGTGAAGACGGCCCGGGAAATGATGGTGGAAGCCAATGCTCAGGAGTATGCCTTCAATTTTCTCCAGCAGTCCCTCCAAAACAAGATCCAGGATGCTGAGGTACTCACCAGCAACTAAAAATATAAAGATGAAAAATGCACTTTCATGTGTGAAAAGGCTGATTTGGATTCCTACATCTATATATGTCTATATTATAGAGGATCCTTTAAATCCTTATGATCATGTGGAACACTTAGTCATTTCAGTGTGTAGCCGTCTTATTTGTATGTTTTAGCTATTGAACACAAACTTACACTTCAGACTTAAGGTCAGATTACACAACGCCTGTGTCTTTGTACCTTGTGGTTTAAGACGCGCACCACGTACCAGATGGTCGTTGCCTGTCATCCCCCTCTCATTCTCTTCCACCACATTTCCTGTCATTGTCACTGTCAAAAACCTGCAAATGTAGCCTGTTGCACCTTTAATGAAATATGATAATAAACAAGCGTGTGTTGACTGTTTTTTTGCAGATTACTGTGGATACAGAAACAATAGTCACAGCCAAAACCATGTATTTTCAAAATGCTGGGCTAAGCTAAACAGCCCTTTGCAGCCCTTGCAGACAATGCAGTGGGTTTTTAGATGTTGAAATGAGTGAAAATCCATAAATAATCCACTGCAGTCAATATGATGTTTTATTTGGCAACATGGGAATGCAGTTGTGAACATGGGCTGTCATCAGAACTCTTATTTGAGCACTCAGGTGTTGAGATATGAGAGCTATCTCTCTGACAGTCACAGACACACGGTATATGAGAAAGCAGAGCTCTGAACTATGTGTGTGTGTGTGTGTGTGTTGTGTTCAGGAGAACCTGGAGAAGCAGACGCAGCATGCCCAGACTCTGGCTGAGAAGTTGTGGCTAGCAGAGAGACAGCTGGAGGAGCTGGGGGTTGATAAAGACACAAGAGACAAGAGGACGTCCAACCTCAACGACACCGTCATCAGACTGGAGGCAGAGGTACAATGACAGTTTCTTTTGAAAACAAGTTAATAATAAAAATTTTATTTTATAGGTTGGTGGTACATGATACTATAACTGTAGCCTGTTACATTCCTGCAAATTAACAAAGATCAAAACTTTATTGGTGATGATGATTTACAAGTAAATTCTCTTATAAAGGAAGGAAGTTTGCGTTTTTCTTTCCCCAAACTTTTTTTGGTTCTAATTGGTTCAATGTTCCAATTTTCCTTTTTCTGCAGGGATTTGTTTACACCATAGTAATTGTGTTTGCAAAATTAGAACTCCAAACTCAAACATTCAAGGTGGTAATCAGCTTCATTACTTATGTCAAAACTGCCTCTGGTCATCGAAAAGATCATCCAAAATATCGTAGTGCTTCTACAAAGGATGCCTTCAGTGACACTTCAGAGTATTTAGAGCTACCCTGTCTTTTTCCAGCTGGAGGAGGCCCTGCAGGCGTCCACGCAGGCAACAGCAGAGCTGAACCTGCAGCAGAAGCTGCGAGAGGACAGCCAGCTGAGGGAGGAAGAGCTTGAGGAGTCTCTGCTGGAGAAGGAGCAGGAGCTGCAGCGATTGCAGGCCCTCGTCAGCAAACTGCAGGGGGAGGTATTCCCACTTGTCCAGTACTTTTAGTTCATACTTTGAGTACTTCTATACTTACATATTACATACAACACACTCTACTAAGCACAAGCCTGTTAACATTCATGTCACATTTTCTAGCATACTTTGGTGTCACCTGGGTTTTATGTTGTTGGATAAATGAAAGAAACTCAAAAGATATGAAGCTGCTGATTTTTAATGATAGCTGAGAACACATTTTGGTAGAAATGCAGCCTCAGGATCTGTATGTTTCTGTGTGTGTGTGTGCGTGCAGGTCTCTGGTAAGCTGATTGATAAGGAGCGGACCCTGGAGGAAGAGATCCAGCTGAGAGAGAGGGTACAGCTGCAGTGTAAGCAAGCAGAGAGGAAGGTGGACGACCTCCACATGGAGCTGCACAGCACCAACCAGGCCAAAGATGACCTGGTCAAACAACTTAAGCAGGCTCAGGTACTGGTTTAAATCATTTGATAGTCAAATAGTTTCAATGGCAAGGCAAGTACTTCACATGCAATTTCAAAGTGTATAACATGAATATGTTGTAGAAGAAAAAAAATCCATGACAGGGGACTTGGGGTGTTCTGGTGACCTGGTGATTTAAGAAACTATTAATTTCCTAAAACAGTTGGACACGAAGAATATTTGCTAAAAACTACAAGAGTGAATAGAGCATTTATTAGGGACTATTTCCAGTAATGGATTAATTAATACACAGTACATTCATTGTTGGTTTGTGTCTCTTCATGGGATTTGTTGACTATATGAAAAAATACAGTATAGAATTTCACTAGACGTCGTAGAGACAAGATTAATTATAATAGAAACACAAAAATATATATTTGCATCAACCTGTATGGGATTTCAGACTGCTAACCAAGCTGGCGATGACAAAAAAACAATTTGGGATGATATAAAAAAAAAAAAATTTGATTTCCTGAAGGTTTCATCCTTGAAGTGAACTCATAGTTCCAGCTGGAGATCAGACAGTATCCACAGTGTGTTTGCATACATGACCAATGATTCAAGCAGAGATGTCCACTTTAATTAATCAACCATTTAAACCATCAGAGTTTGGGGTTAATGAGGTATTAATTATGCAAATCATGTTTAGCAATCAACATGCTAATTCCATAATCCCAAATATTCATCATGTTGCTATTTCCGAAGATACTTAATCCGTCCCATTTCTAAATAACCTGAGTGTGTTCTGCTGATGAGACAACAGACTGTTGACATCATGAAGAGTGACCTCAGATCAGAGGCTGACTGAAAAAAGTTTACTTTAGTTGTTTGGATGATGACTTATTCTTTTTTGACTCTTCTTCTCATATTGTGCATAACTACCTTTGCACTGCATGTCAGATAATGTACACGTCTCAATCAGTAATGCTGCACTGGACGATGATGATATGTGGGTTTTTTTTATTTATTATGAAATGTTTTTTATCATAAATGTTTCCTAAACATAGATTTAATGGGCCTCTGCTAAGTCCCCTCAGGGGTACATAAAGTGTTTTGAAATTGAAATTGATTCTTTCAGGAGAAGATGATTGACCTGGAGAGCGATCTGGAGGAGCTGCATGAGAGCGAGCAAAGATGGGCCGCCAAACACAAGAGAGCTATCGAACAGGTAAACACACTGGTGACAGGAAGTGAGTTAAGTAAAATATTCTGTCATTCAAAGGATTAAAAAAATGCTGATTGATCATGACTGATTTTATTTGACTGGTTATTAAGACATTTCTGTGTTTGCTGTCAGACTGAGCAGCTGCAGCTGAAGCTGATTCAGCAGAAAGATCTGAACGACCTACTGGAAACTGATAAGGCCGCCATGGAGAGACAGGTACTGTGTGTTAGTGTGTGTGTGTGTGTGTGTGTGTGTGTGTGTGTGTATGTGGTTTCACTTCCCCTTTTAGTCTGCATTGAACACAGTTAAACCATCTTTGTCAATACCTCACTCATTCTCTCTAATTCAAATTCATTAGACCTATACTGGATTTTATAATAATAATAACTTCTATTTTTATAGCGCCTTTCAAGGGACTCAAGGACACTTTACACATAACCACTGAGACACAAAAAACAACAGAACAACAAAAGGAGGTCAGATTATATGCCATGGTAAAGAGGTGGTTTTTTTTAGCAGATTTTTAAAAGTGTCCAAGGAGGGAGCATTGTGGATGTCTGTGGGAATGGAGTTCCAGAGGGTGGGGGCTGCGATGCTCAAGGCTCCATCCCCAAAAGTCAGCAGTGTGGCGTGGGGGACAGAGAGCAAGCCCTTGTCGGTGGATCACAGGTTCCGTGAGGGTGTGGAGAAGGTCCAGTAGGTACAAGGGGGCAGTGGCGTGGAGAGATTTTAGATGAGTAGGATTTTGTAAGTGATGCGGAATTTGCCCGGGAGCCAGTAAAGCTGAGGATTGGGGTGACGTGCTGCCACGGCCTAGTGTGTGTGAGAACCCTGGCAGCAGACTTCTGGACATATTGCAGCCTGTCCAGGACCTTGCTGGGTACCCCATACAGGACACCATTACAGTAGTCTAAGCAGGAGGTGGTGGAGGCACAGAGTCTGAGAGTGATCAAAGTCTGGAGATATTTTTATGGTGGTAGAAAGCAGATTAGGTAATGAGTTTGACATGTGACTGGAAGGAAAGGGTGGAGTCCAAAATGACACCAAGTTTACAGACTTCGTGGGATGGAGTAACCATCCACTTTAAGGAGTAAATCACCTACCCTCTGGAGCAGCGGCTTGGGAGCCACTACTATTAGCTCTGTTTTGCTGCTGTTTAGCTCGAGTAGATTGGATGACATCCAGGTTTTTATGTCATTCAGACAGTGTCAACAAGTGACAGAGGGGGAAGCCGAGTGGATGGTTTGGTGCTGATATACAGCTGTGTGTCATCAGCATAGCAGTGGAAACTGAGACCATGGTGACGTATTATCTGACCGAGGGGGAGCATGTAAATGGTGAAAAGGAGGGGTCCAAGCTCTGAGCCTTGAGACACATCTTGTTTGACTGGGGCCGGGGGGGGGGGGGCTATACTCTCTAAAGGTGATAAACCTGTTCCCTATTGGAGAGAGATGACTGGAGCCAGGAGACTGCTGAACCGGTGAGGCCAACACATTCAAATAGATGGCTGAGAAGGACAGTGAGAAACTGTCAAAGGCTGCTGAGAGATCTAGAAGAATGAGGATACTATGTCCAGAATCAGCAGCAATGAGAAGGTCATTATTGATTTTGATGAGGGCGGTCTCAGTGCACTGGTGTGCTCTGAACTGATTATGATATTTAAGAGTTGTTGTTTTTTTTAAGGAAAAGATTTTTTGGAGGAGGATCCTGTAAATGGGATTATTAAGGAATTCTGATGGGGTAACATACTCTTTGGTGGACAAATTCTAAACAGATTATAATGGAGATACAGTAGGTTACTGTCAAATTACAGTCAAGAACATGGTTTAAAGATACTGTACATTCAAGTAGTAAGTAATTAACAATACAGGAACAAAAGAAAAGTGAGCAAAGTGCTAGTAATACCTTATCTCTAATGAAAATATTTCTCGCTCTCCCGGCCTATAGCTGCGTGAGCTGCGTCTGGAGGTGGAGGAGCTTCACAGTTCCAGAGTTCAGGAGGATGTCATCTCCAGGACGGAGAGCAGAGTCAAAGAGCTGGAGAACGCTCTGAGGACCGAGGAGAGGTCAGTCAAATCACTTTTTAAACAAAGTGTATTTTGTCACCAAGCATTTTTTCTCAGAATTTCTGAAAACCTGAGGTTTTCTGTCAGTATTCTAAGGTCACTTTCAGATCATTTGGTCTGGCAAAAATTATTTAGTTCTGGAACTGCTAAAATACACAAAGTAGGACACAGACTCAACATAAACACAAGAGCTGCTTTTCAATTATGAAAAAATTCCCACACTGATGCACTTAGGTGTTACAATGGTTACCAAATGATATGTTGCATAGATATAGCCTATACATTGCTTTTACAGATGGATTAAAAAGTCGTTCAGTACTTGAATTCATGCATTCAGTCATTCATCTATTCTGAGAAAATTCTGTGGTTGGTCCGCTTGGCATTTTACAACATATTACAAGGCAAACCAATACAATTCAAATAGGCAAGAAACTGATATAACCAGAGGTGATTTTACCCACATTTTAGTCCAGGAGGGTTAAACTGGCTGCTTTGTTTCTGCAGATTTTAGCTCTGTAACTACAAATCATGTATACTTTTACATTGTTGTTGATCACTTTCAAATGCTAGCTGTACAGCAGATTTGACATTTTGGTTTGTAGCTTTCCGTTTCCAAGCAGCCACTAGTTTCCCTTCAGTTCTGTACAATATGAAAATGAATAAGCAGACTATTGAAACTTGCCTAAGTTGTGTAATAATTTAGAGCCAACATCAATCAGCACTTGAACTACTTTACCGAACACCACACATACAATAATGTAATATTGTGGAGTGCGATGGATTAGTAAATTTCAAAGGTCTGCTAATTGGTTTTAATTTCTAATTGCACAGAGTGGCTGCCGAGAATGGTAGAAAAACACATCCAAATGTGCAAAACACAGCAGTGTAGTTTAGCTGTGATATAAACCATATGTACCTGTAGCTGTAAGCAGTGGATTTGCTGAAACATGCTACAGTATCAATCTAATTCTGGTCCTGTTGCTGTATCTAGTTGTTGGCTAATGTGTTTGTGTTCTGTGTAGGAACAAGTCAGTTCTGGCAAACACCATCAGTAAACTGGAGAGGAAGATCAACGAGCTGAGTGATCAGATGGAAGAGGAACACAGGATAGCTACTGAACAGAAAGAACTGGTAACAAACACTCACACACATACACAAACGCACGCAGTGCCTATATATTAGCGTAGTAGTGGACATATTTGACAGTTAAAGATACTACATGTTATATTTTTCTTTTTTAATATAATACTTTGGAACAGATGTGATATTTTTGACATTTGTTATTCATGCCAACCAATGAGATTTAAAATATTAAGTTCCTCTGAGAGCCCAGGTCTCTTTTCTCTTTCAAGGAAATTCCTTTTTGTTTTGGACATTATCTGTTTTTGTATAGTCGTCTGCTCTTTTTAGTAAACATCTGTCCTATAAAAACATGGCCAGTGTCTTTAGTACAAAAGCAAATAGGGTGTTCATTTGTCAGCAACCACCTTAGTGGTTTTTATGTCTCAGTCGCTACTGTTAATAATATTATAATAATTGTTTAGTCCTGTCTGTCCAAACTAACAGCTCTGTAATATGTCCTCCAGATGAACCAGAGGATCCGCTCTCTGAAGCGTCAGCTGAATGAAGCAGAGGAGGAGGCGAGCAGGAAGGACACGCAGTACCGCCACACCCAGAGAGAGCTGGCAGAGGAGAGGGAGACGAGCGGCCGGCTGCAGAAGCAGCTGCTCGACCAACACATGCAGACAAAGTACATACTCTAATATACACACACACACACACATCCTTATAGACATAATGCATTCCCTGGACCCTTACATTAAACTTAACTATCACAAATACAATACTAATCCTAACCCTTACCCTAAACCTAATTCTGACCCAACCTTTAAAACCAAGTCTTAACATTCAAACAGCCCTTTTAAGTTGTGAAGACCGACCAAAATGTCCTCATTCTGTTGGTTAAAATCTTGTTACACCCACACATTCATCTTACCAACAGGTGTTAAAGTAGCTGTGAACATATGCTTATTTTGGATACTCAGTGGTTTTGTTTTAGTGATGTATCATTTGGTGACATGGCGTGAATCATTAGTGTGATTACTAGGGTTAACAGTGGTTTAACAGTTGTTTAAATGTCCAGACACCTGCCAACCTCTCTGAAACTTGCGTTTTTACAGTATGTCACAGTGATGTTGTTGTTTTCATGGCACAAAATAAAACCCCATGTCTTTCTTGTCACTGCCTCTCTAACAGGCGTAAGGAGACTCTGGCGATTCGTCAGACTCTGGACAACCTGAAGTATGACCTGAGTGACGAAGATGACGATCGGCTGCTGCAGCAACGACCAAACAACTTCACCAAAGTCTAAATCATCGCACTCCACATTCTCTCATTACAAAACAAGTGTGTATATGTACATTTTTAAAAGCATAAAACCGGCTACATCTTTACACTAGGGTGTGTTGACGTGACATGTTTTCAACCTGCCCTGCCACTTTATCACAGTAGGCAGGAGGCATCTGCAGGGTGCACAACACAAAGTCCAGTCTTCTAAGAAAAAAAAAAAATATGACCAAACCCACCAGGATCTTGGTTCAAATGTTTCTTCCCACTTTTCACAGATCTTGTTATTCCCTTATAATCTCCTAGAAGGTGATCTGAAAAGAACAATGCAGTCTGGTACTAATTATAGGGAAAATAGAGATTTTCTCTATTTAAACTCAAGGCTAAATTCATTATGCATTTATTATTGGAAACTTAATTTCATATGTTGAATAGTAAGCCTGCTTGTCGACAAATTTGGATTGTTTGCATGTTTAGCAGACCTCCTATACACTGACTAAAAAAGTGCAATGAATTGAAATGAATTGGAAGTGTACCAATTGAAGTCCAAGAAACGCCCTCTCCTGGTGACCAGCATGAATTTCAAAAGGTACCTACATAACAAATCACAGAGCTCTGTAGAGAGATGCTCCTGGTAGATGTACAGCATCGCTGTCAGCGTGACAGACTCAACAGATCGAAACACCTTTCAACAATGAAGTCATATTCCCCTTTTCTCCTTTTCTATTACACAGAATAACATGGTTTGCTTGTTTGCCAAATAAATTAAATGTACATGAGTTTGCTATAGAGCGATGTTGATATACATAAAGGGAAAACTTAATAGTGACAATAATGAGGTAACAAGGATCCGCCTTGTAGTTTGTAATCACTTCTTATAGTTGCTACAACAGCTGGCGTCTGTTCAAATGAGCTTTAAACAGCCAGAAGTAGATTTTAGAGTGTCCATTTTATATATCATGCAGTTTCACAAAAGCTTTATGGCCTTAAAGTCTAAACGCACACTTTGAACTTTGAAAGAAAGCGCAAACTCAAAGAATCACTGGTTCCTCCTAAATTTGACAAGCTTTGACAAGTTTTTTATTATCAGAGTGAGCTTTGCTGACAGTTCTTTAATAAGGAGGCATCACAACACATTCATCTACAGTGTTTGTAATATGTCAGCAACCACTATGGAATATGTTTAGAGTAATGACACACAACATGGTTTAACTGCGGAGCAGGGATCTTTGGATGTGCTTGTAGCAAATGTTTTGATTCACACAATTACTAGATTATTTATACTGAAACCTTTTTGTGTTTGTTGTTTTTATGATTTGCAGATTACCAAATTTTATTTAGAGAATGTAATTTTGCATGATTTATGTTTTTCAGGGGGTTTGCTCCCTAAAAAAAACTAGACACTTGGCGTTAATCTGCTTCTTGTTAAATGTATTTTATTCAAATTCACTCAAACCAGACAAAAAAGGACAGCTGAGACGTTTTAGCTCTCAGAAGTAAAATAAATGTCTAAATACAGTTCAGATCCAAAATATGTGTTCATGCAAAGTATGGAAGAGGCAGACAAAAACATGTCTGATGTTCTGTATGCTCATATTTTGGAGGAAATAACTTTTTTGTTTTTCAAAAGAAAACTAAGTGCACAGACTGGAGCAAACACGGCTGGGTTGTTCAAATAATCTGTAGAATATTCACTGGTTTGATTCTCAAATATTAACTATGACCAAAGTTCATCAATACTTAAGGAAATCTCACTTCCTTCTATTGATTGAGTTGTGATTAAATTGAACCCAGCCATGTTACAACATATGCAGTTTGGATTCTCTGTTTACATTTGTTGGTGTATTTTGCTTTTTTTGGAAACAAGAGCATAAGGTTTTGTCCATGAAAGAGTTTCCTATTTCAGCTGTGCCACTGTGTATTTTGGTTTATCTTTTCTCATAACAAAAGAAAGAGATGGCGCCTACATATATGTAAAAAGAAATAGAATACACTGACTTATTTTTGTAACTACACATTCTACTGGTTCTGCTGTTCTCGGGTATTTATTTTTGTTTTTCATATTCTCTCTTTTGGTGAGAAGTTCCTACAATACGCAAATAAATTCTTCTATAATGTGAATTCTGTGTGTCTTGTGTGTGTTTTTTGTGAGGAAAATTAATTTTACAAACAAATACTTAAAACTACTATTACTATTACTATTACACTATTATGCCTTCATGTTAATATTTAGATTTTCTGTTGAGATGAGATGGCGTGCAGGACATGTTTACTCACAGAAAATGATTTGAAATGATTTAGGGCAAGAAAATGTTACATGTTACTAATTGAATTTCTTAACTGTCCAGTAGATTTCTTTCTCTTCTCTCTCTCCTTCTGTCACTTTCTGCAGGTGTTTCTGCCTCCAGAGGTTTAGAGTCTGGATCTGTGGTTGTGGGCCACCTGCCTTCCCTGTTCCGTACTCGACACCAGCTGCTACAATTATTATTATATTATTACTCCTATTTTTATCATTAATATCACCATCATTATTTGTACTATTATTCATTTTCATTGATGTCTGTACCACTACCACCTTTACTGTTGTTTTTACATTTAGCACACTTTTATTCAGTGACTTACAATTGCTATACATGTCAGAGATCGCACGCCTCTGGAGCAACAAGGGGTTATGTGTCTTGCTCAGGGACACATTGGTGGATGTGTCACGGTGGGAAGTTGAACCTGGGTCTCTCACACCAAAGGCATGCGTCTTATCCACTGCACCAACAGAAAATTGCTGCTCATTTTGTGACTCAAAGGCAATCATCATGGTGTTTATGTTTCTAATTACAACCAGTGTAAACTCGCTCGCCAGGCTGGGGATATTCAAGTTCTGACTTAGAGGAACACTAAACGCGGTGTTCAGGACAAGACTTGAGCTAAACAACTATTTATTTCAACCAATGTGACTAACCAGCTGTGTTCACACACAAAGAGTGAAAGGGTGAAGAACAAATACAACTGATTCCAAAGTTATTGTAGTACTAAGTCATCTTTAAGCAACTGTCCGGTCCCACAATGATAAATTTACTATAAAAGTGCAAACACCTAACTCTACAAGTAGTAGAAGCTGAATCTACATTTTAAGCAATTTTCCAAATACTTCAATGGTTCATTTGATCCCACATTCAGCAGGTGCCAGATTGTCGGGGGGTTGCTGTCAGAACATTTTGATTAAGGTCCTGACAAACAGTGACTTGACTATTTATTTTTCCTCAAAGCAGCAAGGTTTCCAGGCATTTTTAAGACACCCTGACTGCTAGCTAACATGTTAATACAATATGTATTAAATCTATGACTATTTCTATAAAACATTAGCTGTGTAATGTTTGTTTAAATGTTAGGATATAAGCCCTCTAATCATGCATGTTTTGGTAAGCCACGGTACCGTTGCACAGAAACGACTGGGCGCCCAGGCCCACAGACATCCCCACTGAGATCTGGAGGAGGACACACAGGGGTTGCAGAGGAGGAACAAAACAGCGTGGAAAGAGAGTGGTTTAGTGTATTTTAATGTGCTTCACGGAGACTTGGCTACATTTGGATATTCCTGACCACAACGTCAGACTGTTTGGGCCGACAGAGACTGCACCGAGAGCGGTAAGCGTAAAGGTGGGGGGCTTGCCGTTCTAGTTAACAACAGATGATGTAATCCTGGTCACATTACGGTGAAACAGCGTATCTGTAGCCCTAGCTCTGCTTGCTGTGGGACTCCGGCCATATCATCTGCCACGGGAAATTTCACATGCCATCGCTGTAGCTGTTCACATTCCGCCCTCTGCCAACCCGACGTCGGTGTGTAACTTCATCCACACCGCCATTGCTGAACTCCAGACTCCAACACCCGAGTTCCCTCATAGTGATCTTGGGTGACTTCAACCACGTCACCATGACCACCACACTTACTAACTTCACCCAGTATGTGAGCTGCCATACTAGAGAGGAGAGGACCATGGACCTGCTGTATGCTAACGTTAAGGATGCATACAGCTCTTCCCCCCTCCCCCCACTGGGCAGGTCAGACCACAACCTGGTTCACATCAATCCCTGCTATGTGCCTCTGGTGAAAAGGCAGCCTGCGATCACAAGGACAGTGAGGAGATGGTCGGAGGAGGCCTATGAGACACTTCAGGGATGTTTTGAAGTGATAGACTGGGATACACTCTGTGAGCCACATGGAGAGGACATAGATGGGTTTACTGAAAGCATCTCAGATTACATCAACTTCTGTGTGGACTGCACTGTCCCAGCAAAGACTGTCCATTGTTACCCAAACATCAGCAGAACAACATGAGGGAGGTCTGGAGCGGCATGAGGAACATCACTGGCTTCAGACCGACTGGCAGCAGAGGAGTTGAAGGCAGCTTGGACAGGGCCAACAAACTTAATCTGTTCTTTAACAGATTTGACTCAATGGCTCCCGCCCATTCCCCCACTAACTCAGCTGCTGTCTCACCTCAAACACCTCCAACCCCACCCTCCTCCTCCTCACTATCCCCCACTCTCCTGTGAGACACCAACCTCCCCCTCCTCTGGCTCTCAGGTTAACAGCTCTCACCAGCCTGACGACTCCTCCTCTCCCCCCCCCCCACCTGTAACCTCTGTGTGCCTCACTGCTGACCAGGTGAGAAGACAGATGAGGAGACTCTACTCTGACAAGGCTGCAGGCCCTGACGGTCCCAGGGTGCTCAAAGCCTGTGCCCCCCAGCTATGTGGAGTCCTTCAACACATCTTCAACCTGAGCCTGAGTGTCCGTAGGGTCCCTGTGCTGTGGAAGACATCTTGCCTCGTTCCTGTGCCAAAGACGCCACATCCCAGTGACTCCAAGGAGTACAGACCCGTGGCACTGACCTCCCACATCATGAAGACCCTGGAGAGACAGGTTCTGGATCAGCTGCGGCCCATGGTCGGCCCTTTTCTGGACCCACTACAGTTCGCCTACCAGCACCGACTGGGACTTGAGGACGCCATCATCTTCCTGCTCAACTGCATCTACGCCCACCTGGACAAGCCGACGAGCACTGTGAGGGTCATGTTTTTTGACTTCTCCAGTGCTTTCAACACCATCCGGCCGGCCCTGCTGGGTAAGAAGCTGACAGCGATGCAGGTGGATGCCCCCCTCGTGTCCTGGATTGTTGACTACCTGACTGGCAGACCACAGTATGTGCACCTGCAACACTGTATCAGACAGCATGGTCAGCAACACCAGGGCCCCGCAGGGGACTGTCCTCTCTCCCTTCCTCTTCACCATCTACACCACAGACTTCAACTACCACACAGAGTCCTGCCAAGTTTTCTGATGACGCTGCTGTGGTTGGATGTATTAGCAAGGGTGACGAGGCTGAGTACAGAGCTGTGGTGGGAGACTTTGTCACATGGTGTGAGCAGAACCATCTGCAGCTCAACGTGACAAAGACTAAAGAGCTGGTTGTGGATCTAAGGAGAGCCAAGACACCAGTGACCCCTGTTTACATCCAGGGGGTCCCTGTTGACATTGTGGAGGATTACAAATACCTGGGAGAACACTGAGGCCCTCAACAGGAAGGGCCGAAGCTGTCTCTATTTTCTGAGGAGGCTGAGGTCCTTCAACATCTGCAGGACGATGCTGAGGATGTTTTATGAGTCTGTGGTGGCCAGTGCTATCCAGTTTGCTGTTGCATGCTGGGGCAACAGGTTGAGGGTAGCGGATGCTAACAGACTCAACAAACTGATCCGCAAAGCCAGTCACGTTGTGGGGGTGGAGCTAGATTCTCTGTCGGTGATGTCAAAGAGGAGGACGCTGTCCAAGCTACATGTCATCTTGGACAATGTCTCCCACCCACTCCATGACTTGCTGCTCAAACACAGGAGCACTTTCAGTGCAAGACTCATTCCCCCAAAATGCACCACAGAGCGCCACAGGAAGTCATTCCTGCCTGTGGCCATCAAACTTTATAACTCCTCCCTTTAAGTGTCTGACACTTAGTCAGTTACTAAACTAGACCACATTATCTATTTTCTGTCCAATATTACCTGTTTAATAATTATGTGCAATATTCTCTGCTGCTATTTATTCACTAGTCCTTTTTGGTTCACCATAATAATTCTTAATAATATAAATATTGTACATACTATACATACATTATTGTACAATATATACATATTTGTCTTATACTTGTTATACTATTATATTTATGTACTCTACCTATGACAAGTGCAATTGTGACAAAAGAATTTCCCCTTGGGGATCAATAAAGTATTTCTGATTCTGATTCCCTGTCAAAGGAGACCTATTATACTGCATTTCCAGTCCTATATTGTTGTTCTGTGACTTCTGTATGGCAGCTTTGCGTGATTTAAAGTTCAAAAAAATAATTTTCTATCTTATACTGGCTCTTCGTGTAGGTCTTCATTTCAGCCTCTGTCTGAAACAAGCAATAGATGCTCCTGTCTCTTTAAGGCCCCTCCTCTGTCTTCTGATTGGCCAAGACCTGCACATTACCAGGCTGTTGATGCTGCTGAGTGCTGCTGTTCGGAGTAAATGACCGTATTTGTAATACCGACTCCGTGTAGCTCCATGTGTCATAGAACGGAGCCGTTGGTAGAAAAAGCTGTTCAAAACCGAACGTTAAGAACAGGAGGAAATCTGAGGTTTTGGCTTACAGGGGTTTCTTTTAAATACTTTTACCTCATTATTCGAAGGTTTGGCAATGTTTAATGTAGTGGATCAGCCAGTGTTCAATTATTTAATTATTTCATGGAACCAGTGTCCCCCAAGAGGACAAACTAAGTATTACATGCCATCGTTCTGAAATGCTGCTTCTGCTGTATAATTGCATTACTCTGTACTTATTTGTTCGTAATCTGATGCCATGTTCGTGTAACTGGCTTATATTCTCTAAGTAAGAATGTGTAACAGCCAATATTATCCAGGAAATATTGAGTTAAGACTCTTTCATTCTGAAATCCTGAAAATGTGTTTAACTGGTAACCATTCTAATATTACAACAATTAAGTAACTTTCCTTTCCCTTTTATCAAATGCTTAAAACTAAGAACGGTATAACTGTTTGACATTAAAGGTTTGATTGTGGGAAGATATTTGATTAAAATACTCGTATATAGTCTTTAGGACCATATTAAAAATGAATACACCGAAGCCTCCTCCTTTGTCGCTCGCTCTCTTCTCTTGTAAGCTACTTCGGTTCTTCAGCAGCTCTCGGCACGCGCTCAGCGTTTTCCCATCTCCTAGAAACCGTGGCGCCATGATTTCTAAAGTTCTGTTTGTCTTCCAGCAAACTTTCGTTGAATTTATCATGTTCTTTTGTTTGTAAAGTCATCTTATTTTCTTTTGTTGAGTGTTAAGTCACGCAATTTTATTCAAGAATGACCAAGTTCTTTTTAAGCTTTGTTTCGTTATTATGTCACTCCTCCCCACGACAATGAAGTCGGGAGGCCAGCCACGTGGTTAGTTACGCGAGCAGTATCAAAGGACAATCAAACCGACTACCCAAGCCAAGGTTAGCAGCCTATCCCTGCAAGTTTTCTTCAATAAGCCGACCAAGGGGGACCTCCCGGAGCAATTCCCTGGCAGAGGAAGCGACCGGCCGACGGCCTGTTAAGCCGTCTCAACCGAGAACGCACGAAACTCAGCCAGCGTGAGGCCGCCGACCATCATCCCGGCTGAGAGAAACAACAAGCAGTAAGAAACAAACGGCATTTGTGCTTGAGTTGATGTCCAATAGTCTTTTAATCCATTAGCTTTAATCCTTAATCATTCCAGCCTAAAACTGCTAGACAAATTTAACCGAGTTAGTGTCATATAATGTGCGCTTATTAGTTCTCTTTCTCCCTATGAATCAAATTCTCCCCACAATAGAACAACTCAGTTTACATTGAACTCCACAACATTCTCATTGTTTGCATTCTGTCTGTTTAGCCATTGTTTACTTCTTTGATGTATATTTAACCACATTTATATCCACCCTTTAGTTAGCTAATAAATTTCTCCTAAATAAAAGGAACTGTGTGTGTATTGTTTAACTCCAGGTCACTGTGAACAATATGAGATTGACTGATTTTATTAAAATGATTAAGCAATTACTACTTACTGATCACTAGGAATAATTGTGTAGTTATTAAACCCATAACATTACCAGGGAGTCCTTGGGCGAAATATTAATATTCATAATTTGGATTAAAAATCATACATAGAAATGCTACATTAACATAAACATCAAACATTGTAACATTGTAGATAAGGAAAATCATATGGAAAAGCATAATAGGTCTCCTTTAAGCAATTTAATTTTACCAAAACCAAAGCAGACACTTCTGGAAGTAAAATAAACCCACAGCATAAAACAAACACATAGATTTATTTGCAGCTCTGACATCAGAAACATTAAACGCATCACAGGTCATTTCATTCTCATTGTGTCAAACATGCTGACAGTGCAACAAACCCAACAAACACACAGCCATTGATACACACGGTGAAAACTGAAGAAACGTGTACAAACCGCAGGCATCAGAGAGAATTCACACACAGAGGATTTCCAAAAATAAAAGCTCTTAGAGGTACTTGGATTAAATAATTGTTTTGATATATCGGGCACAAAAACAACATCATGACTTCTGGTCGCTTATGCCTCTGCTTTGTAATCTATAATCAATAATGCTTTGAAATATTAAGTAGCTCACAAACTTTACAGAGGATCAGACAGAAAAGTTAATAACAGGCACAACATGACTCTTCAAACAGTGTAAACTTTGAAAGTGAATTAAAAAACTAGCAAAACCATTTAAGACTTATGAAAGAGAAGCTTGAAGAAAACATGATGCAAAAGGGCACAAGAAGACAAAAATATTCTTAAAATTTCAATAACATTTGTTTGCTCTTGGTGGGAACTGTTTGGCTTCTGTAAATATCATCACAGAGTACGGTCTAGACCTGCTCTTTTATGAAAAGCGCTCTGAGATAACTTATGTTGTGATTTGGCACTATATAAACAAAATTGAAATTTTACATAGAAAATATGAGCAACTTAAGAAGAAAGGTTCAGATAAAAGCTGACAAAATGGTTCTGAAGATTGTCATAATTAAAAGCAATTGGTTCTACGTGTGAAGGAAAAAGGTTGTCCATCTAGAGGTGAGGCAATCTGGAATCTGGACTCAAATACTCAACACAACCACCTGTTGATTCTTTTTATGAGCAAAGTTTTTCATCTTGCTTTATTTGATCTGGAGTGTTAGGTCGATCTTAAATATTAATTTCCGTGTTTAATCTTTTTGTGTCAATGCAAAATCAATAAATTAAGATTAAAATAGAATCAAATTAAAATAAAAAAACATTTTGCAGCAATTGAATCCAAATTTGTTTTCTGTGATCAATAAAGGTGCATTACAGAGAAATCAAAGCCATAATTGAAATGTTTCACCAAACATTTACCAAAAACATGTAGATTTTTCGAGAACTGAGAAAAAGTTATACACTTGATTATTGGCTTTAACGAAATGAACACTTGGTAAACTTTTTAAAAGACTTTTAGAGACATTTTAAAGCTGCTCTATCTTTATAGTAACAATCTATTGTGTAATATGAACGGTGACACTCCTTGTGAACCCACAGAGAATTATGCAGCACAATACAGAGCATTTTAGCCTCTTTTAGCATATTGATTTGGTTTTTTGGCACATTTAGTGTATGATTAAGTTCTTCAACCCCCTTTCCAGCAGCAGCAGGCAGCTGGGTTTTTTCTTTTCAGCAAACAAGCTTTCATAAACTCACTGTACACCACCTGTCCAGCACCAGACAACAGACAGACAAAGAATGGAACATCTAGCAGCTAGGGAGTTGGTGGAGACCAAAGCAGAACTAAAATGATAGTAAATATCGTAATTAGATTTTTCAGATTGACACAAACAAAATGTTACTGTGTCTGCAGCGGTTTACTTTCACGTTCAACAATTTTATAAGGTGTCAGCTTGTTCCACTGTCCCCAAGTGGTCAAAAAAGTTCAGTTACTGCAGTGTTAACTATCTTTAAAGGTCTTAAAGATACAATTCCGCTGAAATATCACTTGCTTAACAGTAACAGGACATTAACGAAAGTTAGAACAAAGGAAATACACAAAATAAAAATAATCCCTTTGTTAAGAGGATTTCAGTAGGCTGCTTCTGTAAGTGTTTGGAAATATGTAAACCGTACATTATCATTACATGATATACTATTAGACCAAAATTAATTACAGATTGGACCAAAAGTAGTAAGCAGATGATCAGCTGCAACAAATCTATAGAGATACAGTGTTTTCTGGGAACATTATCACAATAATGCAGCCAGGGGAGTAACCAGGGGAGAATGTTACAATGTGAGCCATCTCCTTATGTCTTTATAATCCCCAAATAAATGTTCTGATAAATTAAAACAGCAATGGGTGTTTAATATGGCACTGAGATCAGCTGTTGGCAGACGACTCTGCTTGGCTTTTGAACAAATTAAGAACACACAAAATAAAAACACATTCTGTGTGTGTGTATGTGAAGGCAGTTGTTTTCTGAGTGAACAGCAGAATGAGGTTTACGTTTAAAAACAAACAGTTGTTTGTGACATTTCCTTTTTTTATTTGGCAAACTGGCATATTTAATATACTGTAGGTGACAACAAGGTGATGCCAAAGCTCTATGACCATTTAACTACGGATTTTTAATGGAGCACAACAACAAATAATTTGGCAGCCACAGGTTTCACTTATACTTTGAAAACCAACCTGCAGTAATCCTAAAATTATGCAGCTGTGAGTTGGGACTGCTATGTAAACCCTCCCCTTGGCTCACTGAAGGATGAAGTAAGGACTTAGCTGCCAGCAGGTGGCAAGCAAATAGACAATTTCACTTGTTTCTGGTGCACCTCAACTGGGCTAAAGAAAAAGTAAGGCAGATCAAGGTGTTACTTGATGTTAGGAAAATTATTGAGTTGCACTTTAAACAAAAGAGTTCATCTCAGAAGATCATCTGATTTTTGACATTGAAATAGACTGTTAGTAAGTTTATGTCTAAAAGACTTCGAAATACAGATGTTTCTTGTTGTGCTCACGCATAGCATCGTGGTACATATCACACAGCACTCAGTTGACTTCAGTTTCATTAAAACATGATTTCATTAGGTTTTCTGCACCAGCAACTTTTTAAATGGTCAGTTATCCAATGAAAAAAAATTGTTAAGCAACAAAACACAACAAAAAGTTGATCCACAGTATCTTCAAGTGTTGAACTAAAAAAGTCAAGTTCATAACAAAGGTAAAAAAGCCTTAAACAACTTCTACTATTCCTCTTCAAGCGCTTATAATAGTGTGTTTTCTTTATGTTAAAGACGCATTGTGTTGCTAGAGTTGTAATTTTTGGGTTAATTTGACAAGTAAGAGCACTACTGCAATAAAAAATGCAAATGCAGTTGAGACAATTTTCTCTTGACAGACCTGAAACTTAAAAAAAGAAGGTGTATGACATATAAAGAATATAACAAAAATATGACAACAGAAATAATAATCATGTTTTACATTTCTTTTAATATAAATAATTGGTCTAACAACATTGGTCATGTATGGGGCCTTAAAGCAATATTTCACTTTGCCTGATAATCTGTTATAAAGAGATAAGAGGTCAACATCTGAAAGCTGCCCCGAAAAACTGACGTCACCTAACTGACATTTGGAGTTTTTTCCGATCTTAAGGTTAGGGCAAATAATGATGCTGATTAGATATAATTATCCTCTCCACTCACAAATTAATTTAACTTTTTAAATGCATTTATACTGACTTAAAACCAGTGTTTGTTCTATTTCTAAAACAGCCATTGTCTTTTTTAGGCTATTGATTAGCATCATTTCATTTTCTGTAAATATTAGCAAATTGCGGTGACATTGCATCCTCTTATCTCTGACTTATCTCAAACTCCCACAGAGATTAAACTCTGTTCCACTACAGTGGAATAAAGCTTTAAAAGCCAAGGCAGTAGATCAGTGTGGACCAATACATCTATCCTGATCTGGGACACTCTACTAATGATGTACAATGTAGGCTTTTTTTCTCCATTGCACATGTGTCATGCTGTACCCATATTTGTCCTACAATATGAATGGTATATTATATGCAAATCTGTAGTCAGCCAAGTCTGGCACCATTATGGAGGACTAATGAGAGTCAGCTGTACAATAGCAAAGTATAAAAAAACTGGGCTTCTAACAGAAAGCTAGCTGAAGCACTGTTGTGTCTGCTAATCTGTTCAGTCCAAAGTAGAACTGGGAAATAAAAACAGTATATATACTTAGCAAAATTACAATCACAATTCAGTGTTACTACCGTAATGTAAAAGTATCCAGATTATTCAAACAATGTTACTCCTAATCAATCACATGGCAGTCTAAACAGCAAAAAAAGGACAGCATGGTAGGTTACGTTAGCTTAACTTACCGCATGCTTTTGTTTTGGAATCAAAGGTCAGATAGAAAGACAGAATTCAGAGAAAATTTTAAAGTAGGTGAGGACTGATACTACGAGGTATAGGCTACTGATATGTTTTTCTCAATTTGAGTTGTTTACATATAAAAGCTACTGAAACACTGCAATTTTTCTTTACTCCAAAAAACTCATCAGCCGCTTTTGTTAATATTAGCACATTTAGCCACTGCTAAAGATGGAAGGTTGCTACACGTTCTCCTAATATCAAGGCAGTCTCACCACAAATCTTACATTTATCAAGGTTGTTGATCCAAAATATGAATACTCTCTATCAGGTGGCCATAAGCAGAATAATCTACCCTGACCTGTTTTTAGTTACGAAAAATAATGTACTCCGCCTTGGGTTGGTTTGTTTATTGTTAGGAATATAAAGTTTAATATAGGTCCAATATTTATCTGCCCAGCTCATTGTGGATTAAGCTATTATTCCATATCCTAAAATTAGCTATAGAAGCTAAAAAGCTGACATTGGCTTGACAATAAAAATCAATCACTGATTAATCTGAATCAGAAAGAGATACCATGGTAGACCTCCAACAACTACAACACAATTTGTTGCATTTCTAGCAAAATTCCAAACAAAACAGCTTCAAACACTGAAAAATCACCATATGTGGCCAATAAGGATACAGCATCAAAAACAGTGTGAAACGGGGGGGGGGGGGGGGGGGGGGGGGGGGGAAGAAAAAAGCGGTCACGCAGTTGCTCAGCCCGGCCCTGGAGGAAAAGTTTCAGGAGAGGAGATGACTTAATTTACACAGACACAGCCTGGTGTTAAACTCTTAATGGCCCCGAATAGGCTGTCATCCAGTGACAGCCTAAACAGGAAGCAAAATCTTTCCCTTGTGTTCAAAGTGATAAACAAATCATACTTTAAAGAGTAAAAATGTAACATCTCTTTTTGTCTGTTTAGATCTATTCAAATTATTCAAACCACTTGCAAGTGGAGAAATTGGGAGTGTTCAGAGCTTTATTCCCAGGCTGCATGTTTTAAACGAGGCACATTATTTGTCTGACAGTGGTGAAACTGTCCCCTCCTGTTTTAATTTCCTCAAAGGTTGACACGTTGACACTGTAATACCTTAAATATCCACCAGAGGGGGACAGGGTTGTTTAATTGCCAAAGTGGCAGACCCTTTGGGAGGAGAAGGAAGCATAAAGGGAGGAAGAGAATGAAAAGAGGAGCCGAAGGTAGTTAAAGGTTACTCTTGAAGAGAAGAGTGTGAACAGAAGTAGATTAAGAAACATGCAATCAAAGATGACAGAGAAGGTAAAAGAAGGAGGGAATGTGCTGAGTAGAAAGGACAGACGACTGAGGTCGTTTCCTGAATCGCCTTGTGATCTAGCATGCACATTTCTTCTCATTGAGCTGCGCGTCGGCAAGCTTTGTGGCCCCGTTCCCATTGGCTGGCTCGGCGGGCGGTTTGTCAACGCACTGCTCCATCCTTTTCATGACCAGGTCCAACAACGTTATCACCGCCTTGTCCACCTCCACTCCTGTCGCTGCACTTGTCTCAAAGTACGGGATCCTGTGAGCAGCAACAACAGTAGAATGTTTTAGCAAATTACACTAAGACTGTTTTGCAAATAATTCCATCAATTTTTAGATGAATTTCAATTGGACTCGGTGAATCACTTGCTTATAGAGCCAGTCGGGCCACTGTCTAACCTCCCACACCTTTAATTCTGAAGATCAGAGCTGTATCTTTCACCGTTAACACATCCTGAGCGCTCCTCCACATTTTCCCCCCTTAATCTGTGAACAAAGACTGCCACATTGATCCCTTCCATTTACTCAGTTGAGCAATTAGCCCGCACAGATTTCCAAATCAATATTTTGTGTGCGGCTGAAGAAGCTTTGTCTAGCAAGGACTAGCAAGGACTAGCAGGTTTAGGGTTCTCGTCAATGAGATAACAGTGAGTTTTCTAAACATTCTCTGCTCATGCACATGATTTTAATGTAGCTATGATAATTAACTTTTTTAAATTTGACTAACTGAGGTCACAGCACACTGAAATAATCTTTACTGAAACCAATGGCTGCCTGCGAGTCAGAAAATCTATTTACAGTATAAACTGATGGATGGTTTGGAAAATGATCAGCAATAGTGCATGCAATCCATGTTTGTTGAAGCATTGACAAGCATTATGTTCACTCCTTCCAATATTCTTAATATTCCAGTAATCCCGACTCCAAATAAAATACATGCACTGAATACTGTACATGAAATTCAAACTTACCCGTATTTATCAGCCAGCTCCTTGGCCTGTTTCTCCTGAACCTCCCGCTGGTCGGCCAGGTCCGCCTTGTTTCCTACCAACACAATATCTGGATTCTCACAGTAGGCATTGGCCTGTAGTTGGCCTGAAAATGAATACAAATAAAAAAACAAATGAGAAAAGCGAATGTAATAAAGAAAAACTGTCTCTTTGCATACGTGAATGTGTGACAGGGACAGAGAAAAATTGTTTAGCCCACTGCGTTTTATTTCATGCTTTTTTCAGATAAACTTCATTGGGCATAAAAATATTCATTTATGTGCAAATATAATAAACTTGTCCCTTGTACAGTTTTTGGCCACTGGTGGCACTGTAGAGTAATTTTTGATAGCATAATCAGAAGATGAAGGCTAAAAGAACACAATGTGTAAAGAAAATGTGACGTTAACAACATACTCATCCAGTTTCTGACGTTGAGGAAGCTCTGCTGGCTGGTGAGATCAAACATCAGCAGGAACCCCATGGCGTCCCTGAAGAATGCCGTGGTCAGGCTGCGGAACCTGGAACACACCGCAGAAAAAGCTGAGTGTCTGAAGTTGCAGTTCCTCTAATGGTGCTGCAGGAAAACTCACAATATAGAAGCAAAGAAAAGAAAAACAACTAATTTTTCTGTAGGAATATGAAATTAATTTATTATTTCTACTAGAGGGTCTGGTCAGAATAGTTCACTTCTTATAATGATTTTCCAAGTGATGATTTTGAACATGAGGATATTAAGGCAGAAAGGCCACAAACAACGGTATGTTAGAGATGGCAGAGATTTCAGCTCTTCACTTGACGATGATTGGACCATGATTGGCTTCCAAACTGATGTCACAAAATCATTGTTGCACTCAGATTTAAGGTGATCGCAGGAAACTTTCTACCTTCAGTAGATGAATGTGAAAACAGTCCATAAAGAGTAAAGAATCATTATTAGAGAGTCATTATTCTGCACAGTAAAGCTCAACATCTAAGTAAAGTAACGATCAGCGATAATTGGAGGGGGACTACTTTTCAGCTTAAAGCTGCAATAATAATAATAGTTTTATAATAAAAATGACATATTTTCATGTGTTTGTGAACAGGCTCACTCATAGTGAGGAACCCACAGAGAATTACACTGCTCAAAAAAATAAAGGGAATACTTAAACAACACAATGTAACTCCAAGTCAATCACACTCCTGTGAAATCAAACTGTCCACTTAGGAAGCAACACTGATTGACAATCAATTTCACACGCTGTTGTGCAAATGGAATAGACAACAGGTGGAAATTATAGGCAATTAGCAAGACACCCCCAATAAAGGAGTGGTTCTGCAGGTGGTGACCACAGACCACTTCTCAGTTCCTATGCTTCCTGGCTGATGTTTTGGTCACTTTTGAATGCTGGCGGTGCTTTCACTCTAGTGGTAACATGAGATAGAGTCTACAACCCACACAAGTGGCTCAGGTAGTGCAGCTCATCCAGGATGGCACATCAATGTGACAGGCCAGTACATCAGGAGACGTGGAGGAGGCCGTAGGAGGGCAACAACCCAGCAGCAGGACCGCTACCTCCGCCTTTGTGCAAGGAGGAACAGGAGGAGCACTGCCAGAGCCCTGCAAAATGACCTCCAGCAGGCCACAAACGGTCAGAAAACGACTCCATGAGGGTGGTATGAGGGCCCGACGTCCACAGGTGGGGGTTGTGCTTACAGCCCAACACCGTGCAGGATGAGAACACCAAGATTGGCAAATTCGCCACTGGCGCCCTGTGCTCTTCACAGATGAAAGCAGGTTCACACTGAGCACATGTGACAGATGTGACAGAGTCTGGAGACGCTGTGGAGAACGTTCTGCTGCCTGCAACATCCTCCAGCATGATCGGTTTGGCGGTGGGTCAGTAATGGTGTGGGGTGGCATTTCTTTGGGGGGCCGCACAGCCCTCCATGTGCTCGCCAGAGGTAGCCTGACTGCCATTAGGTACCGAGATGAGATCCTCAGACCCCTTGTGAGACCATATGCTGGTGCGGTTGGCCCTGGGTTCCTCTTAATGCAACACAATGCTAGACCTCATGTGGCTGGAGTGTGTCAGCAGTTCCTGCAAGAGGAAGGCATTGATGCTGTCCAGGAGTTGGCGGATGCTTTAGTCCAGGTCTGGGAGGAGATCCCTCAGGAGACCATCCGCCACCTCATCAGGAGCATGCCCAGGCGTTGTAGGGAGGTCATACAGGCACGTGGAGGCCACACACACTACTGAGCCTCATTTTGACTTGTTTTAAGGACATTACATCAAAGCTGGATCGGCCTGTAGTGTGGTTTTCCACTTTGATTTTGAGTGTGACTCCAAATCCAGACCTCCATGGGTTGATAAATTTGATTTCCCATGATAGTTTTTGTGTGACTTTGTTGTAAGCACATTCAACTATGTAAAGAAAGGAGTATTTAATGAGATTATTTCATTCATTCAGATCTAGGATGTGTTATTTTAGTGTTCCCTTTATTTTTTTGAACAGAGTATCATCCGACTGCAGTTTCGCAAGAGTTGTTTCCAGCAGGCTACTATTTCCAGAGAAAAGCTCTAAAAAAACCCACTGCATGCTACCTGCTCAGCACCACCCAGCAGACAGACACAGTTAAGACACCAGAGGCTAACACAGTGGAGCATTAATCATCTGAAGATGTAGATATTTTTCTCAGAAGTTAGTGGTGACACCAAAACAGAGCTAAAAGGAGGGAACATTGGACTCATAGACACAGCATTCAGAAACACAACAAAATGAATAACAATGTTGCTCTGTGTTTACAGGATTTGTACATTGGCAACTGTTGTCATAACAAGTTTGCCACATAAACAAAAAATCTGTATTGTGTTTATAGCTTGTTTCCACCCGCCCGAAGTGTAATCTGTTACTGTATGTTTAAAAGACCTTCCTATGTTTTACAGACAGAGAAACTATGACTATGGTTCTATGCAGAACAGTGTCTGCTTATTATACCTGCTTTTTGTATGACTGATAAAACTGAATTCTCTCACAAAGAGAATAATGCTTAGCTGTGACTGGCTACAAAGGGTACATGTTGTGTGCTGCCATTTGAATGCACAACAGTTAGTAATGGGAGTTCCCCAGTTAATTTGTATTTTCTGTGGCATGCTGGGCTTCTGGGTGTGATAGCAGCGAGGAACATAATTCTGTGTAAACATTACTGATGAAGCTTGATGAGCAAATATGTAACATGCAAACAATCAGGATAAAGCATCAGCTATCAAAGGTGTATCTAGAGCAAACAGTGTGACAAACTGATCACACAGGTGGAATGATGACTGGGTGCTCGACTAAATCACAAAGATCAGTTTGTGAAAATAGAAATTGTTCCGTGACGCTGAGCTGAAAAAAATGAAGTTAAAATGATGTAACAAACACTGACTCATCCTGCAGTGAGTCACCAGATCGAGGCAAGGTCCATTTAAAGACCACACAAACACTGACACATACAGTACTGACATGACTGACACATACTGTGTATACAGGCAAGAAGGCACATAGACACACATACACACACACAATCAGAGATACTGTTCTGTTGTTTCTCCCTCGAACCATCCAGTGTAATGATACCTGCTCAATTTCAGCAATGAGCTTTATCACATTAAAGTCTTTAAGAATGAAGTGAAAGGCATCTTCTACTTAGTTTCAAGCTAAATCCAACAAGTCAAGACGCTTTACAGCACAAGCAAGACACAATGTGGGACGAGTCAGGAGTGTTGGATTTCCACCTCATGGACGGCGGTGATATCATCATCATCTTCCCATTCCTGGACCCTTCCATCGGCAACCATACCGAGGAACATCTGCACTTCGTCAATTGCCGTGGTTTTGTGGTCTTGCAAAATGGCAGGTTTGTGCAGGATGTCCCTCAGGTGACGAGTCTAGTGACCACTCCCTCTGACCAGTAAGTGGTGTGCAGTATTTTAACTCCAGCAAACTGAGGCTTTTTGAAGACCCTTTTCTTTCTCTCTCTTGCCCGTCATTCACCGGTCTTGTGCAGAGTTTTGCATGTATTCCGTGCTGCCGACAACTTCACGCAAGCCGCAGTTCCTCGTGTCTATTTCAAGTAGCCGGCTATTGAAAAACCATAAAATATTCTTTGTGTGGCTTATCAACAGTGATAAATGATCTGAAATCCCGCGAGATGCGGACACCTCGGCACAACACCAGTGAAGCCGGGGCTTTGTCTCTTCACCAAGTGTTCCTCTTCTGCAACACGCTACGCCTACATATGCGCACTGACAACCCAGGGTTAGGGTTTAGCACTTTAAAAACATTTATTTTAACATTTAACATTTTATTCTTTTTACATGTTTATTTACAGCATTAAATGTTGAAATTTATATTGTAATAGGCTGTATATTAACTTATTGGGAGACAACTGGTAGTTCTATTTAAAATCAGACAAAATCTTGGACAACATCTAGTGGTCATTAGGAGAGGATATTAGCAAGAAATGTGTGTAATAAAAAACTGTCTGACTGGGAGAAGCAGCGCACCTCTCCTGTCCAGCTGTGTCCCACAACTGAAGGTGAACCTTGAAGGTTTTCCCTGCGGTCGTGCCATTGGGGTTGGATGCGGTGTACACCTGAGGAGGAAGAAACACTAGTTTAGTTTTTATCCATCAGATACAATAAACACATCTGTGTTGATGACTCCTCAATGGAGGAAGACCCATTTTAGACTTAAAACCAGCAAAAAACTATTAAATCCTATTAACTCTTTGCACAAAAACCTATACCTTGTACAATCAAAGAGGAAAATGTCTGAAGAATGCACATTGTGAAACAAGTTGTATGACCAGGCAAGGGCGAAGACCCGTGTTAACATCGGCAAGGTGTTTCAATGCTCGACAGTTCAGCAATGTTAGCATTGCTGTTTCACACAAACGATAGGTCAGTACTGTCTTATCCGTTTGCTAAGGTTTGTGATAGCTGATACCAACTGGTTAGCTTTGTTAGCTTTGCCGCAGCATTACTGGCTAAGAGTAGTTACATTATTTGCTTTGTGTTTGTTTTATGACAGTATTTGTCCGTGAAGACCTAAAAATACAAGTTATGTAATGTTGCGAAATGTTACCGGAGGCATTAAGTTCCTTGTTTGCTTTGCATCTGATACAAACATATTGTGACTCGTCAGTCACTGTGCTTTTGTAAAAACAATTTCAAATAACTCTCGCTAGTTTTTTACTGATGATGTTTGTTTAATGTTCGTTACTGTTGAAGTTACTAGCGGTAATCCTACCACAACATACAATATATTTCATGGCTTAGACTTTGGCTAAGAAAAGTATTTTGCTTCAATACATACTATATTTAAATATTGACAGGCTTGTTGTCACACTTTCTACAGTTCTGCAAAAAACATGCCACCTTATTAAGGCTAACTTGCCCTGACCAGCAGACATGCAAGTCTAGTCTATCCTACCTGCTGGGTGACTAATGCTAAAAAATCCAGCTGTCTGCAGATATCAGGCTGATGAAACACAAACAGCAAAAGCAGATGAATCATATTGCCCAGCCCTAAAAGCAAAGACACTTTCCTGGTAAATTGTAATTGTAAGGTGAATGGTGTAATTCAACTCTTTCCCTGGCGACGAAGATTGTTCGTGTGAGTTTCCACAGTTGTAAAATCCTTCTACATAGTATTAAACAGCTGTGTAGCATTTTAGCGTCTTCTAAGCCTTAAAAGTCAAGGATGTGTTACTGACATTGACCAGGATCATATTTCATCATCTCCGTATATGTACATACTTAGCCAATAAAGCTGATTGTTATTCTGATCTCACTTGTATCTTAAGTGACACACCACCACCACGGCTCCTTGTGTTTTTTAACACAATGCTGTTTTCAGACGGAATGCCCGTATGTCCATTTCTCACCTCTCCACTGCTTTACTGTAATATCTCAGCATGGTCTAACCAACAGACTAACAGTGATCCTGTCTCTGTTATGATGAACTCTTGTGTGCTGCAGCTGCTTGGGTCTCAGGTGTCATTCACACCTCTTACTCTCCCAGATGAGACACTTTCTCTGACACTGGTTTCAGGCGTAGTTCACACCAATCATAGTCATATAGCAGGTAGTTTGAATTCTAGCATGGTTTCAAGGTGATAACTGAGTTTCACGTCAGGTGCCAAATTATGACACTTGAACATTTGACAGTACCGGTCGTCTCTAGCGAGACCTGTGGTGCAGTTTGTTATTGGATTGGATTTCTGGATTGTGTCATAAATGCCACTAAATATGCCCTTAAATAATATGATTCAACAAAAATCTGTAAATTTTTCACTCACTGTACTGCAACTGTAACACTGAAACCCGCTTCAAATGAGTCTAAAAACAAATTAGTTTACAGTTTACATGAGCAGTATGCTGGAGAATGTAATGCTAAACCTGAGTGGAGCACTTTCCCAAATGCAGCCCTCAGCAATCTTATTCCCAGCCCAGATGGGATGGGAGATGAGATGTGCCCACAGATAGCAAGGTCCTTGTAGAAGCACGGTAGGTGTTTGCAGAAAACTGTGCTTGAGAGTGAAATTTTTTTAGGAATTGATTATTCCTTTGGTATCAGAATTTTGGAACTAGTTTTCGATGCCCATCCCACAGTCTTAAAAACAGCCAGCCTCATAGAGAGAGAGAGAGAGAGAGAGAGAGAGAGAGAGAGAGAGAGAGAGAGAGAGAGAGAGAGAGAGAGAGAGAGAGATTACTGTGCGCCCATGCAAGTTGTGAAAAGTGCCCACTGTGGCCACAAATGGTAATTACAACACAATGGTGTGTGCTATATCATTGGCTAATAATAGCTACAGCTGCACGATTTGGAGAAAAAGTCATATTGCGATTGATTTAATGATTTGCTGTAGTACATCAAACTTTTTATTATGTCCCGGCCCATCCAGGCTGATTGGTCAGTTGACGAGAAGTGACTGACATCGGCTTTATAGATTTATGAAAAGTTGAAAAACAAAAGGCAGCAACACAGCTAACGTTAACTGACCAGCGATCCAAAGCCAAACTTTTTTTATCTTATCCCTCTCTTCTTCGGTCTTACCGCTTTAGCTGCCGACGACACGTAACATTACTGTAACTGTCTCTGTCTCAATTTACCACCATTGATGAACCCCACGAAGGATATTATAGCGTTTAAAAGCAGTAGCAGAGTTTTGCATGCAATTCTTCGCAGGCATGCAAAACTCGGCATAACACCGGTGTGTCTGACGATCTATGCTGCCTTGTCGAAAAATTCTATCTATCTAGTCTATCGAGTCACTCTGCCTTATCGAAAAATGCTACCTTATGTGTTCCCTTTTCCAATCCCATAAAGTTATAATTGTCACAGCATTATGACATATTCTGTTTTTTGATTATATTATAACATAATTTCATGGGTAGCGTATTCTGATAATATGACTAATATCCCCTATCAAATAATGCTCACATTACAGAATCATTTTATATTGCACCACTACTCACTCCATGTGTACTGTACAGAGATGGGGAGCATGTTGAAATACTATATTATGACATCTTTATTTAAGATATCAGGGGTAGCGTATTCTGATAGACTAATAATGATTTTTGATGTTACTGATGATCAGCCACTTTCCACGCTTGTGGGTCATACGCATGCGCAGAACAGCTATGTAGCACATCTCAATAGGTAGCATAAATCGACACCGGCCCACCGGCGAGTCCGGATATATTTTGAACCATTAGCGGCCGGGCGGAGAGGGGAGGGGTTTGGTAGGTTGTTGTCTTAACGTTACTCGCTCACTGCCCATTAATTACTTTTTGTGGTTCAAACTTATCTGTTTTAGGGGGACATGCAAGAGCCCGGTGTGGGCGGAGATAATGAGCAGACCGCAGTGCAAACTGAGAGGAGAGTCTCACACAAATAGCACACTTTCTGCTTAAATCACACACTTTTTGCTGTTATGAAATCGCACATGACAACATCGCGATTGCAATTTAAAATTAAATCGGGCAGCCCTAATAGTAGCGTAAGCAAAGAGAAGTCAATGAAGTCGGGTGAATTGACTCAGTAATGTGAGTTACACAACAGTTAGCGATTTAAATGTTGCTAACATTAGCGACAATAAGCTATAGGTATTTATGCTGGTAAAACCCAACAGAACAAACTAAGCATGGTCGTTTTCACAGTTTTTTCACGCGTGAGCACCAAAAAACAGAGACTTGACTTCACCACATCTTACCAAAACTATCCAATAAATGACCCAAATGGGAGTCATGTGACTTTTGTCTACAAATTCTAGTTCAGTGGTTCAAACAATAAACGTAAAAGTAGTCTACATTCAGTGTTCAGGTTCCATAGAGACCCTGACGAGGAGCTACTGACAGCACTGAACTACAGCTGTGATCACACATGTCTGCTCCTGTTTGACTCTTTGAAATAGGGGTGTGATCTCACACACGAAGGAGGCGAGGAACAATAATGAATACTATGAGTCACCCGGAGCTCTGGGATTAAAGCAGCATCGTCTGTATTTCCGACATGCGAAGGCAGAGCAGCCAAACCGCTGACCAAACCAAGCCTCTGATTCAGATAACTGCATCTTACACTTGGATATCTGGGTGCATTTATCCTGATGAGATTCTAGCAACAGCGTAGTAAATGTTTTCAGGTCTTAGTGACAGTTTGAAGTGCTACTCCACTCAAAATCAATTTTTTCATCATAAACTCCTCTCTAGACTCACAAATAGAAAGGTAGCTGTAAAACATTTGTTGAGAACTACAGCAGCAGTAGGCTTGGATTTATCATTCTACATCATTCTAATATTGGCAAGTTATTACACTGGAAAAATAACATCCACCAAAGCCTCTTAAAGGAATAATTTGACACTGCTTTCTTACTGAGAGTGAGATGAGATACCATCATTATGGAGCTATAGTCAGCAAACAGCTAGCCTGGCTTTCCACCTACGAGCGACTCTAAAGCTCACTATTTAACGTGCCATATCTCGTTTGTTTAATCCATGCTCAAACAGAAATGTTAAACAATGAGACTTTTGGATTTCACTGGGAGTTAAATGTTTTAACTATTTCTTGCCACTTATGCTGACAGGCACTCTTGCCTTAAGTCACGTTCATATTTCAGTGGTCATGCACATCAGCTTTTCAGAAAATCAGCTGTTTCATCACATTTAGTCCCTGGATGAGGACATCCCGGCTACTATACCTTGACTAATTAAGTCTGTATGATGCTGTCAGTGTAACCTTCATCAAGTAGTTGTTGTGCATTTACAAAACATAACCATAACAGTAGCAGGTAAGAAAATGGTCATGTGAATTATTTATGTCCTACACATTGATTTATTTGTGGCGGCCGGCAATATTAACGCTGACCGCCACATATAGATTAAAATTGGTAAGAATCGTATTTGATCACAGAGCTGAGCGAAGCGCATATATTCTCTCAACAACAACAACAACAACAATAAAATGTTAGGGAAGTTACTTATTATATTTTCTATTCTTTGATTTAGGGTTTTTGGAAAAACATAATAAAATAAAAATAAATTTGTTGACTTTTGTTGCTGTTTCATCACTATTTATAGCTATACAATGGGTTTATGGTTAAATAATTTATTAGAGCACAACATTGTTTACAAGTGTGCATTTAATTTTGCACCAAATTAATGCATTTAACTTTGACATTTAGAAAATTTTTCTTCCGAGGTGGCATGCCCCCAGATCCCCCAACAGGGTTCAAAGCCCACCCACCATAGTCTCTTAAGATCCTGTGGGAAACACTGGAAGGGTGTTTGACTCATATGGGTCATTATCAAAGGCCAATGACAAACAAACTACTTTGACGTTTAGTTTGGACGACTTGTTGGTTTCAGTACTCAAAAAGATTTGGGGATAGAAGATTTCTCCACTGATTTAGCACACCGCAGACTCACAATGACAGTTAAAAAAAAAATTGATTTCACACATTCTTCTTTATTGTCAAAACCTGGCACCTACTATACCCACAATGCAACTCTACCACCGACAGTTTAGTTGGAGGCTAGCTTAAAGCAGCAATAGCTTGAAGCAAAGATGAGGAGTTGGCTACAGTGGTCTGGTAAGCTCACACACTTTTTAATGTTTCATCTTTAACCCCAACCAACATAGCATATTATCATACTTTACAGAGCTCACTTTAAGCACTGAAACCATCTTTTCACACATAACTGATCCTGGTTTGAGCCAGGTTTGACGTCCCTGTACAAGTTAAAATAATGATCGTGGCTCAGCTCAGCAGTGGGAGCTCAGTGAGAAAAGCAGCAGAAAATCCCGACCTGACCTGACCCAGTGTTTGTTCTTTGATAAGTACAGCCCAAAGAAAATGCCTAGGCAAATGTCACAGTAACTATGGTAACCAAGTCTGTATCACCTGTGCGTGGAAGTCTGCGTATCAGAAAACAGATGTCTAGTTGAGATGAAGCTTAAGATTCAAAAACTAGAAAGACCAAAAGAAATATCTTAAACCAGAGACTTTCATTCATTTCCCTGCTTTTTTCCCCCCAAAATATAAGAGATCAGAACTCACTACTCTCTTTTCCCTGAAATCGATGCCAACTGTGGTGATGAACTTGGGGTTGAACTTGTTGTCTGTGTATCGGTACAGGAAGGTGGTCTTCCCCACGCCGGAGTCCCCCAGGGCAAGGAGCTTTATAAGGTAGTCATAATCCCCATCAGTCATAGTGATGACCACAGTAACCCTGTGGACAACAAACAGAGATGTATTTTAGCATACGGACACGCATTAAAAAAAGAGAACAATTCATAGCTCAAGTTTCCATAGACATGGTGGGTGTGTGAGTGGGTGAGCAGTAGAATGTGACATGAACAAAACAGAAGAAAAGACGATGAAAAAGCCAATGAAAAGAAAACATACTACATGTGTGTTTCTGCTGTTGAACTACTGCTGAATTATGGGAGTGTGGTCAGAGGATCGTCCAGACTAGAACACAAGTTTCTGGGAAAATATATTTATGTGTGTGTGTGTGTGTGTGTGGGAGGGGGGGGGGGGGGGGCACAGACAGTGCAAAAACATGTAAAAATATAGTGTACTGAAAGAAAAATAGGCAGCATATAGACAAACTCATACAGCAAATGTAATCACAATAGAAATTGAGGAGTTTGTATTTATTTTAAATAGTAAAAACAAATATAAGTCACGTGAAAAAACTAGTGGTGGAAAATAATGCACATTTACTCTAATACAGGTACAATTTCAAGATACAATTTTATGCTACTTTACACCTCTACCTGACTTCATTTCAGAAGAGAATGATCTTTTTACTGCACTATTATTTGACAGATACACTTTGCCGTTTATGATTTTTATCCATATCTGAGCAGCAACAAGTGATCAGTAATTGTCCTCAAAGGTATCCTGTGGCGTTTCTGATCACCAGTGGTGCTGGAGGAATGTTTGTGCAGAGAAAGTGCATTATCAGTGGCGTCCATTTATTTTGGCAAAGTAAGGCAGTCTCCACGAAAAATTCCTGACTGTTCATGTCTCCAACGAGTTGTAAACTGGGGTCTGTTTGCGTCATGGCTAAATGTGGTATATTTAGAGAGAGGATCATAAGACTCTAATTCACTCAGCTGAGAAGAAGCATTTATAACACTGTGCTTTATTACAGTGAGTATGGTGATTAACCAGGAGCTCGGATCGCCCCACAATAACCTCTCTGTAACTCAGACAGTACGCTGAGAATCAGGGTAATGCTATTCACCAACCAGACTGAAGCAAAGAAAGTACTACACTTAACAAGCGCTCAGTCCTTATTACATCTCACTATTCCCAATTAGGTTTGTATACATGTATGTATACATTTATTTCCCGTCATATAGAACAGAAAGATTGATGTGCATGCTAGTGCAACTATAGTGTGCACAAATACAACATTACATTCAATCATTTTTGCAGACACATTTGACTTTTATGCCCTACATTCAGACTCACATCAACATTGATGAATTGAATTTCAGCCTTGGAACATAGCCTCACTCAACAGTATGTTTCCCACCAAGGGGAGCACTTTTAAAAAAAACAAAAAATGAGTGATATTATAGTTTATATGATATAGCTCCCTTTAACAAACACCAGTCTACCATCACAGGTTAACCCTCACCAGCTTGGCAGGAGAGGCGAGTCTATGGAATTGAGCCATGACTACTCGACTACAGCAGGACAGAGACAACAACAAGAGAGACGGGACCCAACAGAGTAGACATTTTGTCAGCAGCAGGGATTACACTTTAAACATTGGGAAAACGAGATTAAAATTGATCACTTGTGGACATTAAACCGAAATTTCAATGGTCGCTGCAGTGATAAATTTAATTTTTTTTTTGGTAATATTACTAATGGTTTAAACTTTTAATAGCAAGTGCTGGTACAGATATTAATTTCTCTTAGAATATGGATTGTAAACCCCTGGAACATTTCACTTAAACAACATCAAAAAATGTAATGAATGAATAAATAATATATTTTATTGAGTTACAGAGGCAAGTGGAAGAGAGGCTTGCCCTGAGGTGACATCAGGATTTCAGCATGGATTGTAGAGATTAATCATAACATGTCATGATAAAGGGAAAATGTGCTGACATCCTAATTATTAGCATGTTCCACTAACACATACAAACAAAATATATTTCACATTTCTTCTGTACACATTCCACTACCACTTCTAATGTTTGCATGGTTACATGCAAACATTTTAATATCCATTCATTCTTTAATTTAGCTTAAATTACAGCTGAGGCTAATAAAATCCATCTTAGATTGGTGAAATTAGAGCTAGTTTGACAGTGTAGAGCTGAGCCTGACAAGCTGAATATATAGTAAGATGTCCTAAAAATTGCCACTGTACAGAGGGAAGCCCTCTTTGATTTCAATACCAACATGGCCTTTCCTCCGGCACCACTATCTGTTTTCTGGTATGTAAAGAGCAATAGCAGCCACACATTTTCAGCTCTTCTCTTATCTGGTCTTTTAATTTAGTTTGGAAAAAACTCCTTATAACTCCTCTACTAACTTCTCTTATTTGAGGAGACACTGGCCACATGACAGTAAACTGAATGATTTTCCTTTCTTCTCTTGCTTTCACACATTTAGCATCTGTCAGTCCTGAGACTGATGAAGCCCTCTGGGGATAGGGGTGACACAAGGGGGAGAAGGTCGAGCTTATTGGTCTGACATCATTGGTGGAAAACCAGGAATGTCTGTAGTGCGATACCCTGACTCCCTGAGGGTACAGTATAGTTAACAGCAGCCCAGTCAGCTGACAGCAGAGAACAGCACGACCCACAGTCGCCGCAACAACAAACAGGAGAACAAAATACAGTAGAATAAAGAAAGGATTTATTTTAAAACGTGTTTTCACATTCATAGTAGTGGTGGTGGAGGGATTATTTTAAAAGGCGGTTTGATTCTGAATTGATAAAATAGATTCTTATTCATTAATAATATTTCATAGGAAAGATAATGTATTCAACATCTCCCCTGTCACATCCGGCTGCCAATTCCTCTGTGTCTGAAGTTATGATACTAACCTATACATTTTCTTCATCCAGTAATTAGTGTAGACGGTTGTAAGGGTAAATCGTATCTGTACTGGCTCCACCACAGCATTTTAGCGATCGCTATAAATGTATTATGTTCACTATAATCTGTGAGCTATTCCTACTCCAGCTACACCCCTCTGAACAAACATGGAAAAGCCCCCATCTCTGCCTTGTTTATGCTGCTAATCGCTCCGTGGGTGTAAAGAAGATGAGATCCAGCTCTATGAAAGACATAATGGATATACATGGAAAATACCTGACTAATAAGAACGTCTTTCATTTCAGGAAGATGTGCACAGGCTGTTTGAGCTCAAGCACAAGCTTTTGGATTCTACTGAACTGCCTTTTACTTTTGGATTTACCTTAAAGGTCAAGTGTGTAATATTTCTGAGGATTTATTGACAGAAATGCAATATAAGATCCATAACTATGTTTTCAGTGGTGTATAAAAACCTTATACCTTAGAATGAGACATTTCTATCTACATAACCGCGGGTCCCCCCTTCCATGGACATCACCATGTTGTCATTTTTCTACAGTAGCCGAAAACAGAAACAGCGCAACAAAGCGCATTTCGTCAGCACGGTGTTCTTCTTCTGCTTGTATAATTCTGGTAGAATAGACACCGGTAGACGCTTGTCACTACATTGAATGTGTACGAAGAAGAAGAAGAGGACATAATAATAATAATAATAATAATACACAGTCTCTGATGGTCTTCTGGTTTATTAGAAGTAAGAAGAGAAGTGAAATTTGAACAAATGAAGGACTACACCTATTATTTAGCACAAGCCGGCAGCCTGTGGATCTTCGATCTTAAGTGGCGCTGAAGTTGTTTGTTTTCTGCTGGACAGGTTAGTCCAATGTTAGCTATGCAAATGAAAGCTGTTGTTCGATAGCTTCAGCTAATGTTAGAAGCTGGCCATAATCATCAAGAGAAGTGATGCATTTCCCCTGTCAGTGGTGTGAAATATATACTTGGATTGTAATTTCATTCAGATTATTCTTCACTGTGTGTTTTGGCTTTGCTGTCGACAGAAATGTGCCGCATTCGTGAGACAATTAGCTGATTAATTGGCAATAAAATGGTAATATAACTTACAGCATAGAAGCTAAACTTCATATTTTAGTGCCCTGGTAGAAACACTATGTAGTTGGATTGTAATGTCATGTAACGTTAGTTATTCTCTAGGCTTTGGCTTTGCGTGGACATAAATATGTCAGTTATGTCTGTGAGATAATAAGCTGATTAATTGGCAATAAAACTGTAACCTAACATTGTAGATGGAAGCTCAGATAAGCCAGCTAAACTTTTACTGCCCTAGAAACACTAGTTAGTTGGATTGTAATTTTTAACTGTGTCTTGCTTTTGCTACGTGGGTGTCGGTTAGTTTGTGAGACAATCAGCTGATTTTTATTGGAAATAAAATGATCCAGTATGGAAGTTCAGATCAGCCAGCTAAACTACACATTTTACTGCCATGGTGGAAAACACTTTACTGCTAACAGCGTTATAACAAGACCAGTGTTTCCCCATACGTTTATTTGTGGTGGCCTGCCACAATATCAACGCTGACCGCCACATATTGATCGTTTTTCCACCCCTAGGCCTATTTAAAAACGTATTTGATAATATAATTTCTTGATATATCCATCTAAAGAAACCTGCGTCTTGACTGCCTACTCTCTTTTGTCCTGTGTCGGCCACTGTAGCTATCTTATGCGTATGGATTGGGGAAGTCATTGCAAATCGCCTTTAAAAAAAAAATCCCCCTAACCCTTGTCCAAAGCAGCAATTTTTACATTTCGAAACAAAGCTTGAAGTTTATACAGAATAACCTCCAAGTGAACTTAAGTAAAAGTATAATTTTTTTTAGAGATTATTTTTACTATAACATTACTATTAATGTTGTAGCTGGTTGAGGTTCAGCTTACTTTCAATTCCACACTTTATAGATGCTACTACTTGACAATATATAATTGTATATTCCCATTATAGGTCTTCTATGTAAAATTTTTATCTGAAAATATATCTAACTGTTAGACTCAACTAACCCTTTATTTAAATATGAAAGATAGTGGTGAACTGCAGATTTCTAATCTTCAGCCTACTCTTACTGATATATCTATTGTAGGGATA